TACTATACTTTCTGCAATTGGAAATTATGAGAGGTTTATATCCCAAAGACATATCCAGACATTTGTACTGGCTGCTTTGGGGTAAGCATCGCACTAATCTTGAAGACCGGAAGGAAGTTTGTGGTTCAGAACATGGGACCTTGGGCCTTTGGGTCGAGGATTCAAGGCTTGAGGGGGGCCGAAATGGGAGGTTCCGAGAATTGGGGGTACCTTTTTGGGGGGTCCTTATAATCGGGTTCCTACTATTTAGGGTGCTATATTAGGGTCCCCTGTTTTCGGAAAGTCCCAAATGAATGTGAGAGGGTTTCTTCCTTTACAATAAGACTAAGAGGTATAAGCAGGCAAGGAGCTTGTTTATAAGCATATGATGCTAGGGTTTGGGTAGCCTGACAGGTTGGCCGCAACCTAGTGTTTAGTGAGCTTAGGTTTAGGGTTTAGGTCTAAAAACAGGCTGAAGATGCCAACATGTCATCCTGGTAGACATACCTTGTGCCATAGACCCAGCTCTGGTCTCCAAGAGCCATGTTGAAGGATCGACACCAAATCACGCGTCTGCCGACACCGCGTTCCGCCTGTGGTCTTCGTATAGACAACCTCGCAGAAGCAGCGGTTGGGCATTAACTTTGTAAAAGTTGCCAGATGACGTCTAAGAGCCATGGTGGAAAGATTCTACTGTCAGTAGGGCTTTTAAGTACGTGCATCGTCTGAACAAGACTCATGATCTGAACCGCTTCCATCAACCGTGCTGCTGATACTGCACCGATCAGACTTGCTTGTGATACTTGGTCTATGCTCACCATTGCAACCTTACTGATGCGATTGCTTTGATGACGAGTCTAGGCACTCGTGCAACCCTGCATGTTACAATACTCATGAGCGCAGTTGATGTCTTTTCTTTATCTCTGACACGTGCCACAGGCGAAGCACCTCATTATGGACAATGTGGCTGCCTACTGCTTCTACTACTATTACTACTACTACTACTACTACTACTACTACTACTACTACTACTACTACTACTACTACTCCTCATCCTCCTGATGCTGCTTCTACGACGACGGCTACTACTACAACTACTACTGCTGCAAGTACGACTCCTCCTCCTCCTCCTCCTCCTACTACTACTACTACTACTACTACTACTACTACTACTACTACTACTACTACTACTACCACTACCACTACCACTACGACTACCACAGACATCAACAGAGACTTTCCTGCAAAACTCAGCTCTGGACGAGGAAAGCACGCATGCCATCCTTGAGTCCCTGGCAAGCGGGCTTGCGGTGGTCCGGATTCGGGTTCCGAATCTCTGGAATAGAACAGTACTTGGAAGGGCAGGGGACTTAGTAAGCAGGTTATAAGTAGAGTTATAAGTACCCTAAATGGAGTTACCCCAGTTATAACCCTACTTATAACCTACTTACTAAGTCCCCTGCCCTTCCAAGTATAGTCTTCATTAGGAGCACGAAGGCATACCATGGGTAAGAACTTTAGGCGGCTCGGCTTACCGAGTATGGATGTGCACGATCTAATTAGGGCTGACAGGCCTCAAAGAATCTGGATGCATTGATAAGGTTCAAGATGCTTGCGAGAAATCCTGAGCTCGCACCCATGTCCGTCGACACATGCCCCCTTCTCTTTTTGCCCTTGCCCGTCAAGGATGAAACACCACCAATCCTGAAACTCCCTTTTTGCACGGGCTTGTGTGAAGCCCGCCTGGATGTCTCCTGAAACTCCCTAATTGAACCCAAAACGCTTAGGCTTAAACCCCTAAACACGTTTTTCGCATCCAGCCTGCAACTGCCTCAACCCCATAGACCCCTAACCCTAAACTTTGCTTTTGGACCTCACCCACAGTCGAAACCGAAACTGCCTCCCCGCGCCAGTGAAGCTCCAGCCTTGTGTTGACCAGCTCTTAAGTTTCGTTTCTGTTTTTGGGGGTAACTACCCTAAGGCCTCAAAGTAGTTCCTTTTTGGGGTTCGTATATAGAATCCCATGAAGTAATCCCCAAAAAGGAACTAGTTTGGGGCCTATGGGTAATGGAGGGGCCTGGGGGGTTCCTTTTAAAGGGGTCATGATAAGGGTTATTCTAAGGGATCTATATGGGTACTATAAAATTGTGTAGGTTTTAGGATTGACGTGTACATGTTTAACGGTCAGGTTCAAAGCTGTTCGGGGTGAAGCACTCGGTCGAAGTTTTGAATTGATGAGTGGTTTTCTGTTGTTTGACGACGTTCGAGCATCTTCTCTTTTTGCGGCTGGCTGAGGAACACACGTGAGTTTGAGGGGGCTGCCATGGACAAGCAAGACAAACCTCGAATACTAAGACCATTGTGAAGGAACCCGTTAGAAGTGATTCCATACTCTCGGAGACCAGCATGACCTTACACGGTGCTAGGGAATTGCAGTCTTAGAGCTCATGAGTTTAGGGTTTTTGGTTTTGAAGAAGCTGCGGATGTGTGGTATGATGTTCAGATTTTGACACCTGCTCTGTTTACGGCAACAAAACCTGGAGAAACCTGCGAAAACCCTACCCCAGACTCTAAATCTTGGAGAATTGAATCGGCACAAGATTCCGGTAATCCGAGCTACCACCATAAGGAGCGCATAAGATTCGCAAAACATCCCCATGTGAGAAGCATCTCATTATGACATCTTGAATTAATAGCCTTGACAAGGACCCGAATGCTCCAGAGGAAACAGTCCCGAAATGACCATTGGCATGCCCTCACCCACAGCAACGATGATTTGTCGTCAGGGCTTGTGGGTTTCGGGATATAAGGTTTGGGAAACAATAGCTCCGTAGAGAAATTTGACTAGGTCGCAACCCCCAAAGGCAATCCTTCAAATCGCGAAACCCGGATATGCATCCTAAAACCCAGAAACCAAAACCCTCAACCCAGAGGCAGCACCGGCTCGTGAAGAGACAGGCCCCCGACAGGGAGGAGAAGTCCCGATTCAGGATCTGCGCACCCGGAGCGATGCTCCTCTAAGACTCCAAAGTGTTCGTGACATAGCAGAGGAACGTTGGCAGATGGAAGAGGATTTGGTAGATATTCTGACGTATCTGAAGAAGCTGCAGAGGTTACATAGGATGTTGAGCCTCGTGGTTGTTAAACCGGAGGTCCTGAACTTGAGATTTGGGGCTGCAGGGCGCAAGGGTTCCCAGAGAGTTCGTGGGGGTGTTTGCTCTACTCGGCAAAAGCAGCACTGTGTTGCTCTTGCATGAAGGACCTTTCTACTCAGATCCCTACACCGTAAAGCCGGAAAAATCAAGCAGGCACCCTAGGGCTCCAGTTATTTGAACAGTATGAACCATAAAGGATGCAACCCGGTAGCCGACTATTTATCCTAGGGTCCACTTAGCTTCACGGGAAATTGCAAGGTCCTTTTCTCGGTAGCCTCCAAGTCCGCCACCTGCGACAAAAGGTCGCTTAGGGTTATGGTAACTCAGGGGCCTTAGTATTGAACATGGGGTTTTGGGTATAGTATACTTTAATTAAGGCAAGGAACCCCCAGAGTGGTCGAGGTAAATTTTAAGGCGCTTAGATTTCAGCATTCCTAGTAGTTCAGGGTTTAAGCTTGCAGGATCTTCGGGTTGGATTTGCCGTAGCTGTTGCACGCCCATAAAGATGGACCATTTGGGACCGTTGAGTCTGATTCCTTGGCTCTTGCAATAGATACAGAAGCATACGCGAAGCGTCAGTACCCCATCACACTCTCTCGCTCCCTCTTTCCCTCTCCATGGTTCAATTCAATCTGGGAACCCTGACAGAAAACATCCTGTGAACACCGAGCCCCTGACCCCCAAACCCTTCCCTCTGACTCCAACCTCAAAATGAAGTTTCTAGAGCTTGCTGAAAGCAACCATATCAAAAAGGGGCTTCGGAAGTATTCATGACTTACCTTTGGTTAGTAGGGAATGGGAGAATGGTAGTAATAGTAGTTATACTTGTACCCCCTTCCTTACTAACCGAAGGTAAGATGATACGTTTTAGAAGGGCAGGGTCAACTCCAGAGTTGCCGACTTCAACACGGATCTGGTCCAAATTTCAATACACCCGCAAATCCGAAATTCTACACCCAATCCTGGGACTTACCTTTGGTTAGTAGGGAATGGAAGGATGGTAGTAATAGTAGTTATAACTGTACCCCATTCCTCCAGTCCCTACTAACCGAAGGTAAGGAAATTCTACACCCAATCCTGGGAAGCGGGTCCCTTTCCATGAAACCGCTTTTCTTCCTAAACCTATCATAAAAAGCCGGTCGCACCTTCAAGCACTTTCAACCTCTCGGCTATAACCCCTCAGGAATCTTGCTGATTTACCTCAGCCTTGTATATATTGGTCAATCGGCACCACCACTACCACAGCAGTATACAGTTTCTAGTAGTTGTCATGCTGACAAATGCAGGATTCCTTGTCGGAGCCTGCAAACAACAGTGTCAATATCCTCAGCTCTGAATGCCGCACCTATCTGTGGCCTCAAACCCGATGCAATAAAAGGCTGTGACAGCCCTTGAAAGAGCAGGTTGCGGGATCCAAACGAAGACCCTAAGCCCAGAAAGCAACCAGTCACAGACCCAGAATTCGAACAGCCACGACAGAAAGAGACCAAAATGACCGCAAACGCAAAGTCGAGGGATCGAGGTGTAGCACGTTGGGTGCAGGGTCTCGAAATCTTCAACCACCGTAAGCCTATGGTTCGGGTTACGAAGACAGGACCTCGAACAAAGCATCGAAGGTACATGTCGGGGTTCAAGAGAGCTTCTAAGCGCACATCACGAAATTCTTTGGGAGACATCCTGCGCATAGGCGCGGAAAGAACCCATGCATAGCTGCATAGGCGGTGCAGGTTCTGATAACCCTAACTCACTCTTTTTTGTCTTGCCGCGCGATCCTTTCGGCCCAACTTTCCACTGCAATCATCCACTTTGATGCAGCCATAAGCCAGCATCTCGGCGCTCAGCCCCATTAACGCACTCATCCTCGTCTCACTCTACGACGATCGTTTCAATCCACTTGGCATGCTGCCCATCTTTCCTGGCACCACAAGTTATGGTGATGGTGAGAGTGCTTGGGAGCCCCGAAATCAACACAACCGGGTGCTCCGGCATGCTTGGCCGCAATTGCCGGAATAGTGGTTCTACAGGTATACGCAGGAGAGGAGACATATCTCCAGTGCGGCGTGTCGGGGGAGTACTGCCTCGCTCTTGGCCCCGTCTGCAAGAAGGCTTGTACTACTAGTAAGGCTAGTACTACGAGGGTTACTTGCTACTAGTACTATTGGTTATTGTCACAATTACCAGGAGTACTACCCCTGTCACCATTGCTAGCAGTATCATTCTCATTGTTATGAGTAGTATTCTGATGATGATGTTGGTGAAATAAAGTTTTGGACGTGGTTTTCGCAACATCGTTACTCTCAGTCGCTGCCGTGAGTACTCCTAAGTTTACTAGAGTCACCCTCAAGCATGTACCTGGCTCCCCGAGGCTTTAGGCCAGTACATAATTCACTAAAGCTGACTGACAATACTATTCCGGATGCTTTCTTAATGCAATATACGTAGGGGCCTTCGCAAAATAGCATAGGGTTTTGGGGCCCATTAAACTATCAGTAAGAAACCACCGAACCCAATCATGCTTTCGGGTCACTATTATGGCTCTACTATGTAACATACCCCAAACCCTGGACCCAGTCACCTACGACCAAAAGCCATTCAAATCCTGAAGCAAGCCAAGCCACACCAGCCGGAGCGGTCCTCCCCTTTCCGCATCCTGACATTTGAGTGTTTAGGGCCCCTATCCTTTTGTGAACCAGCACCAGGCGAAAGAAATGATCAATGAAGAATCAATCCCCCAAACGCTGCATATGAAGTGTTAAATCTGAGCCAAGCAGCTAACTGCTCGCCGTCCTGGGAATAGGCCAAGATTACCTGGATTGGGCGCAGGTTTGCTTTTCCAGGAACTGCGAAGCTCGGAATTTGGGCTTGGGATGCGGCCGCGCATCTCTAGCCTCCTCCACCGTGGAAGTGGTAGGTTTATGCTTGCAGGTTGCGGCCTTGCTATAAAACTGTCCTCACCCCATTTAATATCAAGCAACTACACAACTTGAGTTTCCAGCAGCAGCAGCAGCAGCAGCAGCAGCAGCAGCAGCAGCAGCAGCAGCAGCAGCAGCAGCAGCAGCGACAGCGGCACTGAACTCTGATTCATTCGAAGAAGGTTCCTAGGCATAAGCATATACGCGCGTATGCATATATATATATATATATATATACATACACACATTTATTTATTTATTCGTATAGTACATGAGAATCGGAACACTAGTTCGACTTGTTCGAGCCACCTCTGGTTAGGGACGAGGATGTCATTGATAAAAGAAGATGTGTTGAAATCAGCTTTACCAAGAACTGTAAGCTTTCGGTGTTCGGGTTTAAGTTCAGCACGCAGGACTTAGGGTAGAGTGGCTCCGGGACGGGGGAAACCCAAGATTCACCCAAGACTGTCTGTAGTCTTCGAGGTGTGATGCGACGATGTTCAGGCTTGTTTAAGCATTGAGGTTTCGGGTGGCGGGTTTCGGGTGTCGGGTGGAAGAACATGGGTGTCAATCTGTACCTGCTGCACCAAAACCCAACACACCTGAACGCAAATCCCTGTAAAGTTAGAACCCCTGAAATCCACAGCTAGAATGGCTTCTTGTGGGGATCTTCTTCGATTCCGGCATCGGGCTGACTTCAGCGAGTGGCGTCGTCTTTCATGGCCCGAGACCAGAACATGGAGTACCTGTGTTGAGAGTTTGGGAGTTTCCGAAAATAGGGGACCCCAATATAGTACCCTAAATAGTAGGATCCTTATTATAAGGACCCTAAACGAAGGTACCCCTAATTTTCGGAAACTCCCATATTCGCGGTTCTGAGAACTTTTGTTCCAAAGGTGACTGCAGCTTCTGTTGCATGACCTGAAGATTCAAGCAGTATGTATTGCAGATCAACACCCTAACCCAAACAGTTTGGATTACCTTAGGCTTCAAGGGAAAGCTTCCAGAACGAGGGACGTGAGCGGAGCCTCGAAGGGAGTTGAACATGTGCTGCTCTGCAAACATGTCGAAGATATCTCGCGGCATTCAGAAAATATGATTTTACGTTTCGGCGGCTGCGATAATGGCGAAGCCCTATGACCTACGAAACATCTCTACGGTCACTTAACATAAGTTCCGTAACAACAGCCCAATTAGAGCTCCATCTTCTCCTGATCCTAGAATGCCCAAAAACCGTGTAAGAGACGACCTGAAGTCATCAGGGATCCTGGCAAAAAGAAACTGCTCAGAGTCTTATGTCCCCAAGCCCTAAACCTCCAAGGTAGCCATGAACGAATACTTGAGTTCAAAGCTGCAGGTCAGTACCCGTGTCTCTGGGTACGAGGCAACTTGGACCCTGAGGCTTTCGCACAAAAACAGCACATTAACCCATGCACCAAATCCTAAACTCAAAAGCTCAACACCCCTACATCCTGAAATGGCCAGAACCTAACGTTGCCTGATAGCTTCTGAGATCTCGGTCGAGGATCCCGAAACCGTCCATGCCCACGAAAGTGACCAAGGTCTCATAGGTAGGTGGTCTGTTCCTTTGAGGCGTGCGGGGTTTCATATAGGAGCCTGATTAAGCGAGCTTGGCTTAATTAGGATCCTATATATGAATCCTATGTTGCGGTTATAAGTATAAGGCCAGGAATTCTTAAGGAGGTGTCTACAGTAGGCGCCCTAAGCCTTATAAACCCAAAGGCTTGCTTTTTGGGGGGATGTGGGCATGAAGGGCGGATTCAGGGGCTCTAGGGGGTAGGAGGATCTGGGAGCACCCGAAAATAGGGGACCCGAATATCCCTGAATAGTAGGATCCTTATAAATTATAAGGATCCCAAAATAAGGTACGCCGAATTCTCTCAAACTCCCATCTGGCTCTTCGGGTGTCTAGTTCAGGCTGCAGGGCTTTGGGGATTTTTGAGGCTTTTTGGGCTTAGGGCTGCGAGGCTCTCACTGGGTTTCGGTAATAAAGGGGACTCCAGAAAGTTGGAATATGGATTAATGGTAGGATCCCCTATAATTTACCTTAAAGGGGTTACGATAATGATATTCCAACTTTCTGGCTTCTACGGTATAATTTTTCTATAGTATAAACACCCATATTATGCGAATTAAGCCCCTTAGCCGGAAGCCAGTAGGGCGCTAGGAGGCTTCCAGGCTTTCGATGAGGCCTAGAGCTCCATGGATTTGTTCTCATGGGTTCTTCTTTAGGAAGTCAATTTAAACCATAATAAGGAAGGAACACAGATTATTTACCAGGCCATAGATCCCTACTATGGTAACTTCAGTTAAATTTCCTAATAAGAACCGAGTTTTTTTCGCACCGACAAGTACACCCGAGCTTTGGAAACAAAACTGGGAGCACGAGTTCAGCTCGAGGAGTCGACGTCTATTCACTTGGAACCGCTGTAGGGGCTTAGAGTCTAGGGCTCGGGCTTTCAGGCTTAGGAGCCCATTCAGCAGGTTTCAAAATCAGAACATACATATATATACATATATATATATACACACACTTATATATATATATATATGTATGTATGTATATGTATGCATATGTATATACATATCGAAATACATATATATATATATACATATGTGTGTGTACACGTATGTCTAAGGTCATTATACCCCGCATAGGCCTTTTCTCCGACTGCACAGAATTCGATGCAAACATGAAGAAGCGAATGAAGCAACACCCTAAACGCTGAAATCCTGACCCTAAGACCCTGAACCTTGAGCCTGAAAACCCAAGCCGAAACCCACAGAATCCGGAGCCCGTCCGAGCTAAATCCTGCTAGGGTTGATGAGATAAATCCTGCACTACCCATAATAAGGAATATACCATAATTCCCATAGTCTAGGGCCCTGAAGGTAATGCAGGATGTATATCATCAACCGTACCACCTCAAGCTCCGACCAAAATGCCCTAACCAGAACTCTACATGCACCAAAACATTCACGCTTACGTCATCTGCAACGAAAGTAGGTCCCTAAATCCTAAACCCGATACCCTAAACCCTCCCAACAAGCTCGAGTTGAGGGATGGAGGCCCCCGGCCCGGGGTTGAGGCTGCAACGGCATCAAGAGTCCCCATCTGCGGAAGAAGCTCAGATACGCGGACGCCGGTCCTGATCCGCAACTACTGGCCATCCATCTCCCCGCTTCAGGTATGTTTCGTCCTATACCTTCAAGTGCAAAAGACTCACATGTTGAGGGTTCTAGGCTTCAAAGACTACGGTGACCGGCTTTGGGGCTTAAGGGCTTAGTGATCAGGATTTTGTTCGGGGCTCTTGCCTTCCCAGAGCCCTCCAAGAGCCCCATGGCAAAGATATATGGGTGGCTGTCAAAATTATGGCACCTTTTTGGGCACCCTAAATATTAAGGGTCGTATTATAATAAGGACCCAAGATAGGACCATAATTTTTACAACCGCCCATATTCTTCACATTTGAGGTTCTGTGCTTCTGACGGCACTACAGTGAAGGTACCTTCAGTTTTCGTGAGGCTTCTGACTAGGACTTATGACCGGGCTCTCCGGGCAAGCCTCAACCTGGGGTGAGCGCCCTCGCAAAGGTTTTATTTGGGGTGTAAATCTCAGGCTCTGTATAGGGTTTGTAAGGCTTCGGGATCGGAGGCTCGGGGATAAGTAGAGACGCATTGGGGGGCTCTTCGAACTACCTGGTCACGGTTCATGGGGCTTGGTTGTAGGGTCTTCCTGTATGCTGCTATGCGACAAGTGACAAACGCAAGGGTCGTAGTACCTGGGTTTAGGGTAATTTAGGACTTGGAGGCTTACGTTGCCTCGGCTTTCGCCTCGGATTCAAGGTTTGGCGAAACGCTTGGGGTGGAGACGGCAAGACTTTGCGTTCATAACATGACCCCAAACACCCAACCTTGTAAGACCGTCGCCGTCCCAAGATCCACTCAACCCTCAAACCCCAAGCCCGAAACCTTAAAACCCCTGAAAACCCGAGACCATTTTGCATCCAGGCCCTCGTGTGACTGCCCGAGACCTCATAACCTGAAACCCTAAACCTTAAAACCCTCCTGACAGATCCCAAGGTCCACTCTTTGGTGTTCACGTTGCCCGAAGTACTGCACTGGTGGGTCACCGTTTTTGTGCCTGGCATTCTCCTTAAGGGTTTAGGGATTTGGGTCAAGGTGCCCAAGTAAGCAGGAATCTCACACACACACAATCACACACGACCCAAAACACAAAACTACAGTTGCACTATCCGAAGTGCCGAATGAGTTGGTCCGTTGGCTCTTATGGGGTATGACCACAGCGACACTCTACCCAAACTATATGTAGACTCCTTTTCGGCATGGGCTTGGTTTTTATTCGCGAAAACTCCCCGACTGGGAGAAGGAGAAACAGGCTTCTATGCCAAATCTGGACCTGGAAACAGGAACCTCAGCTGGGCTTCCAAGTCAGGCTGGACCTGATGTCCGGCCCGGATGTGAAGCTTTCAGATCATGAAGCGGACTGAGTTTGGGGGTTTCGACTCGCGCACGCGCGCAAATGCAGGCACGGCTTGTCGGAAGGTTTAGGGCTTCGGGAGTAGAGGCTGTCCGTGGTCACAGCCGCGACTTCTTCACTGCATCCAGACCCGAGGCCACAGAAAATCGCACTCGACTGACCACCCCTCCCTAGACCCGAAAGCCTACACCCCTGACTCTAAACTCTGAAGTCCTGAACCCCTAACTATAAGCTTTAATCTACACCCTAAGCCCCGAAAACTCGAAACCTTACAGAATTTTGGCCCGGTGATGTGGAAGTCCCAGGCACAGGGCTTGAAGGCCTTCCGAAGCTCTGCAACGGTAAAGATTCCTGAGCAGAGCTACATCAATAAGATTAAGCATCGCTTTGAAGGCTTCACTGTCAAATCTGGTACAGTATTTACATGCGTTTTTTCCTACATATGACTGTATTTTACAGCATCACCTATCAGGTTTCGGTGTCGGTAGAGGGTGTTCAATTGATTAATTTTTAATCCCTGACGAACAGGAGCTGCTGACTCCGGGAGCCAAAGCGAGGATTCGAGGGATGTTGGCACCGAGAAACATCGCACCGACGTGTCAGCCCCGGACTACATGTGGATTCATGATGCAACCCGAGCTAAGACGAGCTTGCACAGACGCAAAGACTGAAAATGGGAGCGCATGCCGATGCTGCTATACTGCTATACTGTGTGCAATAGCGCGCATTCCTTTCCTGACCAATCATTCCTGGGCGTGTGGTGCTGAAGAAACAGCAGTTCATAATCACACTCGAACAAGTTTCTCAGAACAAGAGCTGAAGGACGAGATAGGCTGGCCTCAAAACCGCATCGACGGCGTCAACTGGAGCCCGACTCTCCGAATAACTTGCGGAACCTCGAAACTCGGAAGAGAATTCGAAGACCTGCTGAGGTGTCCCTGACTCCGAAGCCCAAGCCCTGCATCCTCTTACTCCCCAAAAAACCCGCAACTTCGGTCCTGAAACCCAAACCATGGACCCTTAAACCCGAAACCCTGCTTTAGGGCTGAGGGAAGCCCTGCCACCCCAACAACAAAGCCTAAACCCACATCCCGGCTCCAGCACTCCCCGACAGACTACAGACTTTTGCCAGGGCTTGATGCTTTACCGAGACCCGTGCTCTGTTACAGCTTGCAAAAGTAGGATGAGATTGGTGCAGGGTTTAGGCTGTCTTCGGGAAATTCGCGTGGGCTTGCTTGGGGATTCCTAAGCAAAAGGACCCTCAGCACAAAGAAAGCACCCAGAAATGTATGATACCTGTAAACCCTTCTAAAGACCTATACCATCCACATACGACCCCTAGGCAAGCCTGCACAATACCTCCAAAAATACTTGACCTTCGTAAGACCACACTCCCGGACCACAACACAGACCGAGGGGTCGGCCGATTCACCCTAAACTCCAAACCCCCATGGCCAGTCTCAAAGCATCCTTGCGTTTCGGTGTCCTACTTGTCGGGTATCATGGGGAACTAAAGGTTAACTTGCTTGGTTATATAGGGATTATGTAGGTTCTATACTACCCAAAAATGTTGAAGGTACTCCACTACTAGGGTGTAGGGTTGACTTGGATTTTGCTGGAGGGCCTAGGTGGTTATGGATGGCCCTTATTTGGTTGGACTCCGGGCCCAAGACGCGAATAGCTTCACGTTTAAAACGTCTCCACGCCTACTAAGGGCTGAAATCGTCGGCTTTGGCTTTTGTAATTCCCTAAACCCTAAACCCTTTGCGCTCTCGCAAACGATGGAAGTTCTGCTCGCCGCCTTTTTAAGGGAACTCCAGAAAGTTGGAACATGGTTTCAGGGTAAGATACCTTATATTGTACCATAATGGGTTTAGGGTTAAGATACCATATATTTTACCATAAAGGGTTTAGGATAATCATATTCCAACTTTCTGGCTTTTACCCTAAATCCATTCATCGCCAACTTCTGCTCAGCAATCCGAGATTCGTTTATAAGGACTGTTTGGCTTGTGTCACACCATCCCAATGCCCAACGCCCTCAACAGTATTGACATAACATCGAACCCTAAATCCAAAACCCTAAACCCAAACCTTAACACGCTAAACCCTAAACCCCGGAGCCTTAAAAGACTAAACCTGTGAACCCCAAACCCTGCAACCTTAAAACACTAAACCTAAAAACCCTAAACTCAAGCCTTAAAACACTAAACCCTAGAACCTTAAAACACTAAACCTTGAAACCCTAAACCCTGGAACCTTAAAACAGTAAACCTTAAAACCCTAAACCTCAAACCTTAAACCACTAAGATGCCCTCTGGTGGAGCCCTTAGATCCAAGATGCCAAACACACTGCCATCCGAGCGCTCCAGACGCAGCCGCACGGCGCCGGGCTCCTAATATAGGAGCATTTAATGAATTTAATAATTGGAATAGGGTGGGGTCTAGAAGGGCTGCGATTGCGATAATGGCGATTCTCAGGATTTAGGAGAGGGACCTTGATAATTATGTAGAATACATTGTTTCTTTATTGTTTTGTTTTGAGGGGGGGCGGGCTATACATTATACTACCAAGCTAGTATAGGTAATTTAAGCCCCTATTTTAGGCAACGTCCCTCCCCAAGTCTGCGGTTTAGGGCGGAGTTTTGGGTTTAGGGCCGTTTAGGGTTCAGGGTTGAGACTGTTTAGGGCTGCTTTACGCTCCTGTTTAAGGTTTAGGAGGGGCTTCGGGGCTCACAGGCTTAAGCCCTCATTGTTCCGAAGGCCTGGCGGCAAAAGACCATGCCCAAGAATACCAAAATAAACATCGCGGCATGCAGTGCATCCTCATGTAAATCGGCCTGCCGTGGGATCGACGAACAAGCCCCAAACCCCAAACCCGTACAGAACCTGAGCCGAACCCGCCCTAAGGCCCCTAATTAACCCCTGAACTCTCAACCTCAAACCCCTAAGCCCGAAACCCCTAAGCCCCAAACCCCTAAGAAATTAGGCCCGCGGCCCCAAACCCCTAAGCCCTAAACCCTAAACCAAACCCCTAAACCCGATAAGCCCTAAACACCTGAGCCCTAAAACCCTGAACCCTTAACACCAGACCCCTCAGCCTTAAACCCCACCTAAACACCTACTGCTCGAGACATGGTCGGGCCACGACATCCGGCCACTGTCGAGCCGCATCCGATAGGACGGGGGGAGCCTTGGTAACACAAACCCGAAGCTACAGTTGAGGCTTTAGGGGGGTTTCGGGTGAAGGTGCTACTTATAGGGCCCTGAACCCTTTTCTTTGAACCCGTTCTGATGCTTACGATGGGGGTGCCTTGCGGGTCCTTATGAACAGATTTGCACCTGGGACATACGGTCGCCAACGGTCTTTATCGTAAAGATCCGAATGTGACGTCTTTTTCTCTCCCTCTCCCTCCGTTTGCTTTGTCTGTTGAGGCTCGCTGCAAGGGCTCTTATAATATTTAATATAAGGGATCAAGAATCAAGATGTTTGGGGTTGCAAGTTTCTGGAGCAAGGGTTTGATTGCTTAGAGTGTCGAATATTCGGCACATGGCCTAGGGTCGACTGCTAGGCTGACAGTGACAAGTCACGAGAAAGAAGGGCAGAAGTTGGGTCAGAGAAATCGGCCGGTCATACCGGACTTAAACTTTCCCAATGTCCCATACAAGCCCATTAATTACTTGTGATGCTTGTGCAGAAATGACTACTTCAAGAGTTCCAGGCCCCTAGGGGGCTGGCTCGAGGTGCTCTTGCGAGCCAAGATGCCAGCTTGCCGATGCGATAGGGCTCCAGGATCTTTGCAAGCTCAGCCTGTAACTCAGGAAGGCTCTGATATGTTGCAGTGGCAGAGGGAGGTGTCCGAGTCTGATACTGCAGTATGTATAAGTTCAAAGCTTCCAGACATGCCCGAAACCCTAACTAAAGCAAAACCAAGCCAAAATCTCCGACGACAACATAAGAGACAGGATGCCAGACTCCAAATGCTACATCTCCACGCGAATCAGCACCAAAACACCTGTGAGAAAGTTGGAAGGCAAGGTCGACTATTCCTGGACGGATGGCGCAGTAGCCACTACCTTAACCCTGAAGGACCTACCTTTTTAAGGACTTATAGAAGGAAATCATAATCAGGAACCCTAAAAAGGTAGGTTATTCAGGGTTAAGGTAGGTGCTGGTTCTGTCTGGCTCAATTATTTGTGCTTGACCCAGACAAGGCTACATTGGAGATTGTAGGCCTGACGCCATCCTTCGAACGACCGGAGACCTTGAATGACATTTTCAAGATCATGCAGCGGTCGGAACTGTAGTCCCCGAGTACGCATAGTAGGATACAGTCCAAACTCTATCCCAATTATCAAGATCATGCAGTACTCATAGTAGGATACAGCCCAAACTCTATTCCAAGTATCAAGGCCCCACCGTCAGGGCACAGGGTTCCCTTCGTGCCTTCACTCCTCTGCTGCAGTTGGCATCGGGGCCGCAGCCTCGCATGCTCCGGGCTTCGCTGCGGAACTTATCATGGGAGTTTCCGAAAATAACGGGGTACCTTATTTGGGGGTCTTTTATTTTGGGGTCCTGATAATCAGGATCCTACTATTTAGGGTACTATATTAGGGTCCCCTATTTTCGGAAACCCCCATATCAAACTCCAATCTAGCATGAATGTATCTTGTGACATCGGATTCCCGGCTGTGCACTCTGCTGCACGCTGAGGGGCTTGCCACTTAGTCCTTCCCCGGTTTTTGTCAAGACTGATCATCGGATGGCATGGGGATGTCGGTGCTGGCCATGGTCACGAACGACGGTCGCACTGGCGCCGACAATGATGACAATGATGAGGGTGGTGAGGGCTGTGCTAGGCTCCATGTTGGTGCTAGGAGTGGCTACATCATGGCGATGACGATGGTGGCAGCGACGATGTCTATGCTGACGATGATGTGGCTTATGATGATGACAGTGATGATGATCATGAGGATGGCTGGTACCTCTAGCACTGGTGTCCACGAGTGGGTGGCACGGCTTTGTGGACTTTCGCGACTCTTGGTCAAGCAGCTCTGTGTTCAAGTGTTGCCTTTGAACGTGTGGATCTCGAAATGTAAGTCAACAGTACCTTAGGGGCTGAGTGCCCCACCCCAAAAAGGCCAACCTTTTCCATTATGGTAACATTCTATAAACCCCAAACGAAGCAGCTGGCTTACATGACCATCTACTTTCAAATTGGGCGCGGCAGTACAGTACAACAGGGCTCACATACGGAGCTGGGGACTACAAGGCTGAAAGCACCAGATACAGCGAGAACACGAGAACCTACACATGTTCTGGAACCCAAAACCCTAAACCCGTAAAGTTCAAGGCGTGGGCTTTTGGGTTTAGGGTTTAGGGCATCATTCTAGGGGTTCAGGATTAAGGGTTTAGGGTACTCTTAGAATGGCAGAAGGCTTGTTGTGAACTTCAACCCGTGGAGCCGACGTTTGAAATGCTACTTGGAAGGGCAGGAAACTTAGTAAGTAGGATATAAGTAGAGTTATAAGTACCCTAAATGGAGTTACCCCAATTATAACCCTACTTATAACCTACTTACCAAGTCCCCTGCCCTTCCAAGCAGACACAGCATGTTCGGCATGCAGATTGCAGAAACCTAATCGAATAGCACTGCCCAGTCATCATAAGCTCTAAGCCTCGAGCCCCAAACCCCAAAATCCTTCAAGCACGCGCTTGGATCCTAAATCCAACTGAGGACAACACTTCTCGTAACAGAAAACCCTCCACCCTCAACCCCTCCACCCTAAACCCTCAACCCTCCCAGAATTCAAGATGCCTAGGTGTGCGGGGCCAAACGCATCCTCGAGCCATGTTGGACAATTAGGCAACGGTTTTGCGGTTCTCCCTTCGTTAAGTGTTCCTAGACAGTCATACCGTATGGCTTTTTGGGGGTAGCTGCTTTTGACTCCATAAAACCAAGTACCCTAAAAAGGCAGGGTATGACCCTCTAGGTCGGGCTTGTACGGCTTAGGACCTAATACAGGGTTTACGTGTTCAGGATTCAGCGTCTGGGCTTGGGGCTGAGGTTTGCAATGCAGCTGTGGCCAGGATTTCAGAGAAACCCTCAAAGCCCGAAACACCTAAATCCTTCTAGTTACTTGAACTCCAAACCCCCAAACCCAACATCCGCAAACCGCTAAAATCCCAGCACCACTGCTTGTCCAAGAGGTTTTGCAATTTCTGGGATCCCTTTTCGCATGATCCAAGGCCAACATTCCGAAGCAAGCCGAAAGCACACACCAGATCACTTTGAGGCTTAAATTCAACGGTTTGGGGTAAACGAGAGTGCAAGGTTCACCTATAGTCTCCATGGTAGTTCCGTTTTACGGTTTAACCAATTAAATAATTAGGATACTATAACCCCAAAAAGGAACTACAATGGAGACAATAGGCAGAGTTTAGGATTCTTCAGAGTCGCGGCTGGTTTGGGGTTTGAGATTCGAGTGCCAGTTGTCGGGTCAGGCCGTCTCGTTGGGTGCTTCTACACATTGATTCCCTTAGCACTCATAACAACCTAGCATACAAGAATGCCCCAGTGCCCATCCGTGAACCAGTCTCCTAAACAGTCAGTCTGACCGCACGAGTTTCACTCCTTCTTGTCTAAAAACATCATTCATGCATCATTGGCTGTTGAAGCCATGCTGTGCCGTACAGTGTTCAAAAGTAGTCCGTAGCGGCAACAGCCGTAACTAGCCAACTTCAAGCCCTAGATTGCCAACCCTCAGTACAACCACATCATACAAGCCCCCGGCCCTTCAGAAAACCGAAACGCAAGAATTGAAGGCCCCAAGCCCTTGAAACCCCAACCCTACAAATATAGAAACACACGTTCACCGCCCGCATAAAGTCTTCAACTGACAAGGCAGAGCCAGAAGTCCTTTCAAATCCGGGACGGCTATTGGGGACTAAACCCTCAACCCTAAATCTTAAACCCCTAGACCCAAAACCCTAAACCCCTAAACTCCGAAGCTTTGAGCCAAAGGGGCCTGGCCCAGGAAATCCTCAAACCTCCGGCCGGCCAAGCGCTTCGACCAGTCCAATCCGGAGCAGGGCGGATGCTGTGGAATATACCGGGTGATATCGTACCTGCAGCAGCCGCTTACTACTACTACTACTACTACTACTACGACGACTACGAAGACGAATACTACTGAGTCGAGGCTTACCACGTCTAGCGTCAAAAAGGTGATAAGTTGTAGGGGTATCTTGCCTGAGTCCCCGGGTGCAGGGGGGTTCGTAAACACACAGTTCAGGTCCCAGGTTTACGTGTCTAGGCCTTAGGTTTGGGAGCTTTGGGCGCTGTTCAGGTTGAAAAGGCTCCTTTGCTGGTTTGTTGGATTCTTTTTTCGCTGTCCTGAACATCTTTGGCGTGAGGGTTGCGCGACTCCTTTTCAAGGCCCTCTACTAGCTGCCTGGGAGTAATATTTAAGTTTGAGGTGCTGGATGAAGAGTTTGAGTGGTTTGATGCAGGCCATGTGGGATCTGCAGGATATGGGTCTTCTACCTGCTTCGGCGCAAGAACCAATCTTAACTGAAAGCAGTAAGCAATGCCCCAATTATGATTATCGTTGCTTTTTTCCCTGATGGCATTGTTCTCCGCTTGGCCCGAAATTGCGCGATCTATGTTGGGATCTCCAGCGATAAAGGTTGCAGTTCAGGGTTTTATGAACAGAGCTTGAAATCAAGAGCTTAGGGAATTTGAAGGATTAAGGCAGGGAGACCATCACCCAATGGTGACATTCAGGCAAGCAGCACAGATCCGTTGAAGGATATCCACGCATCCTTCTCGCGGTTGTGTCGGCGTACCTCCGCCTCGGAGAACACCTTGTCCTCACAGCTCTAAGCAGCGAAGAGCCCCAAAGAAAAGAAGGCTCTCACCGGCGAGTTGAAAACATGATAAGCTCCAGCTCCCAGGCATGTAAGCTGGTGCATCGTCGTGTCGCGACTTCACTTCGAAAACATGTGCGGGCCGACCTGTATCCGGATGCATCTAACCGTGCCACCCTCCACCCACGACATTGGAGGTTATTGGCTTATTTAGACAAGAGCTCTTATCATGACAACAAGGGCTTTTACATGGTCAGCAGAAGCTTACCTCTCTTACACTGTCCCAGCACTACCTTTAGGTGGTTCTACGGTTGGTGATATAAGTCCTGCACTACACATCATAAGGAATAAACCATAAATCCCATAGTCTGGAGTCCTTAAGGTCATGCAGGATTTGAATCATCAACAGCATCACTCATAAACAAAGGTCGAAGAGCGAGGGTTCAATAGCATCCACTAGCTGTTCAGCTCCCAACGCTAGTTCCGGCTTGACCCCTACTTCACACAGGACATCAATCACTTGTCAGCATAGGCTTTCAACGTCCTTTGTCTCTGTATATCTTGTATCATATTTACTATTATGTTATATTTATATACATTATATATATATACACAGATTTTGTATATAGTCATAGAATTACTTAGACCTTCGGCACCAGAGCTCATCTGCCTCCTCCGCTCGGCAGCGCTGTGGGGACCACGGCGAGGGTCCCAGGGTGCCCGCAGCAGAAAGGATGGGGGCACTTAGGCGCCATCTGCTGGCTGCGCGGAACATCTTGCACGGCTTTGCGTTCAGTAGGGGTTCGGGTGGTAGATGAACGAACATCTTGCACGGCTTCGGGCCTATAGGGTACAAAGAATTTGAAAAGCATGTGACCGATGGTGCAAACATGTGCAACGAGATTGTTTGACGAACGCTTCATTCTCAGTTAGCGGGATGCCCAAACAAAAAGCAGTTCAACCCTAGAATGCCCCAGCTGAGCTTAAGTTGAGGAGTTGCAGTTTGCACACGAATAGCTGGGTAAAGAAGCACGCTTCATGTCCAGACAAGTTCTGGTGCTCAGCAGAAATGGCGGGCTTCATCGGAATGGTTGATCGAGTTCAAGTGACGCCATCCAAGAACCACTGCCCGCATGCAATTAACAAACTCACTAGGCAAAGAAAACCAAACTGCTGTGTTGAAGCCTGTGCCCACCCCCATCCCCACTGCAGTCCGTTCTTGCACCACCTTGAGCCTGTAAATCGTTCTAGGACTCTCCACCTTGTGCGCCGAATGCTATCTATCCTATCACGCAGGCACAAGAAGCAGTGCATGTGTCTATCTGTGTGTAGTAGATGTAAATATATTGACAAAAAATGGCTGATATGTTATAAATTCATTATACACAGAGCATGTGCATACATATCTGTGTGTTTGCGCACTTGCGGGTGTATGTAAGCACGTAGGCATAGATCTGTGCCTGCGTGTGCATGCGCCGGTTGCCGTCTACGCGAAGGAGTTCGTATCTACGCACACGTGTGTGTATATACGCTTGCACATATATTGACGCACGCGTACATACATGCATGCATGCATGCATGGATGAACGAGTGAGCTTGCACAGACATATGGGCTCTGCATACACATACACGCAGCAGGGAATACTGGAGGAGCCCCCACAGATTATTCAAGCATTGACAGAGAGGTGTGAACCTGGTCATAGAGTCCTGGTCGACCTGCTCCGCATCCCATCCTGTCACGCGCCGCTTCAGGGCTTTGGACTCCCGCAACGAGGACACTGCAAGCGCGGTTCAGTGGCGTTCAGGGCTTACACTCGAGCTCCAAGGAATAATGCTGGTCATCACTGCGCTTCTACATTGCGGCCTCTGAATTCTGAATTTTGGTTTTCTACTGAGGGTGGTTGACACATGATGTCTACGGCTCAGGGTTGATCTGTTTTCATGTCTAGGATCCTTGGAGCGAAAACTCGTAGAACGACCCCAAAGCCTGCTGACAAAATGGCTGGTGCTCTGGCGAGCACAAATCTACATCTGAAAACCCCAGGCCAAAGGTAATGAAAGGTTCGGCTTCTTGGCAAATGAGAGTGTCAGAGTCTGCAAGGGACGTAGGACCCTTTGCAGAGGGGACTGTCGCGATTCTGTTTGCAGTACGCGGTTTGCAAGCTGGGATTTGGTGCGATGTTCTGAACTCTAAATCTTAAGTGGTTCGGACTGCCAGGAACTGGAGCACTACAGTTTCCTCTTGTGAATGTGAAGCGCTCCTGTTCCCAGAAGTGGTCCGGCACGTGCATCGCAAATGGTCAGAGAAACCCAAGCGGCTTTAAACCCAAGAACTCAACAGGAAAAGCCCGAAGCATCCGACAAAGACTTTATAAACCCTCAAGCCCGAGACCTTCAAACCCAAAGTACCTAGGACCCTCGATCCCTAAACCGGTTCGAAGCTGCCGGATTTCGGCGCGGTTTGTGCGAGGCTTGGTGGCTTCTCAGAAAACAAGCATGGCCTCAGAAGCCCGCATCTATGTGTGTTTCGGGATTTCGGGCTTCGGTGCTTTGGCGCGTAGGAAGGTACGGGGTGGGATGATTAAGGTTGTCGAATCTGGACATTCGGGCTCAAGTGCGTTGGGGAACGGATGATTCGGAAAGAGGCGGCGATAGAGCTTTTCGAAGGCTTAATTGGAGCTCCAGTGCTTGCAGTAAGTCAATGGAACGGCCATAAGAACCTTGAACTCTAGGCTGTTTATCAGCGTCTCGCAATGCCAGGTTCAGTCTGTCCGGTCTTCGCCAGACTTCTGAAAAGTGCGTGCCCGCCTAAGGAGACAAGGCAGAACCTGGGGTATTACTGCAGCTCCGAGCAAAGGGAGTGTGCCAGGCACAGGCATCTAATCTTGGCGGACTTCTGAACCCCTCCTAAAAGTTTAACTTTTAGCCTCCTTATTATAGTTCATATAGAAACCCAAAAACATTAAAGTCTAAAGAGCCAACCAGAAGAACGCCATGTAATGGATATTTTCATTATGCTGCACAGCAGTTCGCCAAAACCGAAAGCACAGCACCACACACTCTACAAGAAATGATGACATAGGGGCCTCAAGCAATAGAATAAACCTGCCACGATCATTTTGTAGCTTTACGAAGCTAAGGAGCCCTAAGGAATAGTGCGACTCGTTACCCAAACTTTAAATAAGGGCAGTCGTAGGCTTCTGCTCATGACCACAAAAAACCACAATGCCGTTGTATCATACGGCTGGTTGTACAGGGTTCTGTAGTGATGTAAGGCTTCCTTGAAGGGGTTCCATAAGGGTTCGTATGGAGGGTTCCTGTAGGGTACCATGAGGATTCCTTTGAAGGGGTTAAGGGTTTGGGTTTCGGGTTTCAGGGGTTTCGTCTCTCACCCTCGCACGATGCAGGACAGGCTCCGGGGTTTAGGGTTCGGGATGCCGACAGCAGCACCACCAGCACAGCAAGAGGAAGACAAACACCAATCACAACTGAAGCCATTCCCATAGTCATAGTCACCGGAAAACCTCCGATCGCGGAACAAGAGCATCAAGTTACAGCTGCAGGGAGCTCGCAAGTTACGACGTGGCAACGATGCTTTTTTTAGCAGAGGATAGACGGGCACAGCTTTCAGCGACCTGCTGACAAATAGCAGCAGCTCCAGCAGAATCGTAATGGCAGCCGTTGCCGACAACGAAAGCAAAGAAGCGACAACGATGCACATACGAAGCAGCAGCCGTATGGTTAGCTTCCAAAAGCGAAACTGTCGCATCCACCGGTGACGAATACAACCATCACGAAGCATGGCTTCTGGCAGTGACCCGCTTGCTCTTCGAGTATCTTCGTCAATAAGATCCTCTTAGGTCGTAGCCACAATAAGGGAGGACTACAAAGTGTCCAAAGGCCTACGAAGACGAAACTCCACAGCCCTGTGCCCTAGGCATTGCCCTGTGGACTCGGAATGCCTCCGAAGTCCACAACTTTCACCCCCGAGTTCACCCGGAGCAATAGGACCCACAGGTGTCCGTGAATCGAAAACTACCAAAACTACCCCTCAGATATGGAGCCCACAAGAACACAAATTCATTCGGATTTAGCTTCGCAGACCGCACATGGAATCCGTAATGCTTTCTTTCTGTGCCAGTGTGGACTCCCATCAGGACGGTCAGAGACTTTCTTTGGAGAAGCTCCGCGGGAGGACATGAACATGGATCACTGGAGTCTTGCTGCCTTTTGGTATTCTAGACTCAGTTTGCTTAGTTGCGTTCTGCCTTACCCACGGTTCTTCTCTGAGTGCTCCGTGTTCCGCCTCACTCCTTCGTGGCGAGGTACTCCTTGATGGAAAAGCCACCGGCTGATGTTAGCAAGCTGTTGCTCTTGCCTTGCTCAGCAATTGAGGAGGTTTTGGCCTCCTTCTTCGAGGCTTTCGAAATTCGCGAGGATCTTGTGTTACGGAACCTACTAGACGGTTTAGGATTTAGAGTTTAGGGTTTAGGGTTTATGGAACCTACTTTGCAGTGTTGCAGGTGCCCTGGCAAGGATATGTGCTACATAGCTGGCCTCCTTCTCAGGCTAAGTTCCTTAACATGAATTCCTCGAATCCGCATCAAACCACTTTGAAACCCCATAAGCCCCGTGCAAGCTCTTAGCTCTGAATATACCCTAAGCCGTGGGTGCTGAAAACCGGATGCCATTTGCGGATTCCAGCCCTGAACCATCATGCCAAGACGAAGCGGAAAGCACCCAGGCTAGCCCCGGTGCTACATGAGGACAAGTAGCGAACACTCACCTAAACCCACAATTAAGCCGCAAACTATGAATTCGTGACCCAGACCGCCCAGTGTGATATAGGGGCGGTAATTATTATCAAATTAGAACACGTTTTTCTGGTGCATATTGTACGATACTCATGCCGAAGAAGCTCAACACAGAAAACTCCATCAAGAAGAGTGCAGGAGGCTCGACGTGACAGAACCTTATGGAAGGCACTACTGTTGATGATATAAATCCTGCATTACCTTAAGGACCCTCAACTATAAGATTTATGGAACAACATATTCCTGATTATGGGTGATGCAGGATTTATATCATCAACCGTATTGCTGGCATCTTCATGCTTCTGCACTAGACCACAACCCAACAACCCGACGAAGAACGAGACGCAAGATGCAAATAGAATGATGAATAACAAGGGGGCTCAACAACTAGAACAGGGCTTCGGGTGATAGGGTACTAAATATGACTATCAGTTCATAAGTAAACGAAAATAAGCAGTGATAATCACTCATGAAATACAAGATCCAGCATCACTTATGACTCAAAGTTTGGTGCAAGTTCCTCGAAAACCTCAACCCTAAAATCCTGAACTGAACCCTAAGTCTTGAGTTCGAGCAGAAAGAGGCCGGTCCTCCCTCGCCTTCAGAGCTATGCAACAATGCAGAAACTGATACGTAATAGTGACAATAAGGATTATATAGGATTATATTAGGGCCCTATTATATTCCTATTGTACCACTATTACAGGGCGGGGGCAGCTTCTAACTGATACAGAACTCTGAATCCTATATAGCCTTTATTGAAGCGTAAGATTCCCCCACGCCCCCTATTCTGGTTATTGAAGGCACCCCGGGCTTCGCGTTAGGGTCGCACCAGTAGTCTCAGCACCGGAAAACAGAATGAGGATTAAGCCAAGACAGCAATTTCAGCTAATGCCTTCAAAGCTGCTGAAAGCTTCCACGCAGTCGTTGACGTAGGTCACGAAACCTTGTGATGGCGCGCTAGAGAAAGCTGACTCTAGCCCGAATCCTTCTCAAGCTTTCCTGCGACACATACCTCGACACAAGACCCATGGCGAGACCTCAACCCTACCTATAGTCTCCATTGTAGTTCCTTTTTGGGGTTACCTTATAGGATCCTTAATATATATATATATATATATATATATATTTGGCTAACCCAAAAAAGGAACTACAATGGAGACTGTAGGCAGATCTTGCGGCATGCTTATTGGGGTGATGAGGTGGACGGTGATGCACAGGTTCGTGCTCAGGATGTCCGGGGTTGGGTCTCACTTCTCGGGATACTTGCTACATATATTGAACAATAGTAAGAACGGTACTCATGACAACATATAAAAATCGTGTATAAAGATGTGTGTATATGTGTGTGCATGAGCCGCTGTGTTTGTCCGCGGTTCGAGTTACTTGCTATCTCTTTGCAGTGCCCTTATCTCCATTCCTGTTGAATACCGGCAGAAATTCTCTATCTCGTTCGAATATCGGTAGAAATAGCTCTATCCGAGCACTACGCGACTACGCGTACCAGGACAAATGGGCTATATGGCCTGATTTGGCCGACTCCGTCGATCAATGTTGTGCATCTCGCTTGGGTATGGTTTACTATCGCGTTTCGATCCGACTACATCACATCCAACGTGACAGCAACTCTACCTCATGCCGTCGTAAAAGCTGCGGTTCATCTGACTGTGTCATGCCGCACCAGCCTCTCTTTCAGCTTCGACTTCAGGTAGGACTGCCACGAGTTGTAAATACGCTGAATCTGGTGCTCAGATGTGTCAGACCGCGGGTGCCTACCAAGCAGAACACCACAGAACCCTCAACAGCAAACAAAAAACATCAATCAAACGCGAAACGCGGAAGTTTACACAAGGCATTGTTAGAGACCTTAGCCCTGGGCAAAATCTGAAATGAACCCTCCAGCCCTAAGCTCAAAGCCCTGAACCCTCTAACTCACAAACCCAGAGCCGCAGACCTCGGGGGCATTAGGGTTTATATTGTGCTTTGAGAGCTGCCGTTTATGTTTATGGGCCAATAACATGCGCTTCTGTGCGGGGGTGGAAGGGCTTGACAGTAGCTCAAGCACAATAAACAATGGATGATGCCCCTAAACCCTAAACCGTCAGCAATAATTACTTGCAGAGTCTTGGCATTTCAGCCGTGGTGTCGATCTTCGAGTTCCATTCTTTCAGTGTCCAACCGTGGATCGAAAAACAATGATGACATTCCCCAAATACGTGAAGAGAAACACAAGAGCAAAATAAAATATGTAGCGTAAAACGAATACATACATACGTAACCATACGTACATACATATGCCTGTAGCGATGAATCCTTAGCCCAACTCATAGGTCGTGGAACGAGGAGGCAAGGTGAAGCCGGTCTTCTTCTTGACGGCCGGTTGGTTGGCTGCGTAGAGGAAGGGAAGTGCCTTCAGTTGCAGACTTTCCCGTTTGAGCAGAGAAAGCAATGCTAGTGATAGTGCTTCCAGGCTTCCAGCCTAAGGGACCCATGCACGTATGATGTATGCGTATCAGGTTCCAGGGTATGATGCTAGGGAAACTCAAATCTTGTGGGGCTCGTGAGCAAGCGAGTAGTAGGAAGCTTTTGGCTGGAGCTTTATGCGCAACTCCTCAGTGCTTCCTGTGCATGAGTCGTACAGGACCTTACAATTACAAGGAGCACCAAGACTCCAAGCCCAACATCTAAAGCCTATACTTCGCACAACACTGCTACCCAGATCCCAATACCCTGCAACTAAAACCCACCCCAAACCCTCAACCTGAAACCTTCAGCCTCTAAACTGAACCCAACCCAATCGCCTTGAAGTCAGCAATCGTCGGCTGCGACCCAACAAGGAACTTCCCCGTCTTGAAGAATGTCTTCTCTACCATGCCGAGGGCCTCGCCAAAGGACTCGGGTTTAGGGTTTAGGGTCTAGGGTTTAGGGCCTATAGGGGTTAGGGTTTAGAACCAAAGGATTCAGGCTTGGTTACTTGTTTTTTGCGGCTCAAGGAGTAAAGGGCTAAGGCTAAAGCGTTCATGGTACAGAGCTTCATGTTACAATGCCACGGAACCTGCACTATAACACTTAACCGTAAACCCTGCAAAGCCCTGTAAAGTGCGCCTAACACAAGAATTGCATATAAGGCCCAATATATCTCCTATACTAAACTTCCACCATCCCATACACCCCAAGCCCAGAAATCCCTGAAAACCTACACCCACGCTGAAACCTTGAAGCCTTTAACGCACAGCTCTTGTTTCGAGAAAGCCCCCGCAAGTGTGACACAAAGTACGCTCCCGCAGAGCCTACGGAGCCCCGAATTGCCCTGGAAATTCCTCTTGCAAGGGCCTTCCCAAAAAGCACCACTCTAGACTCTAGAATCCGAAACAGTAAAAACTCTCAACCCAAAGCTCTGAACCCTGTAAAACCCGCCGTTCCAGCATTCCTTCTTGTGATTTCTTTATATAAGTCCTTGAAAAGGTAGGTCAGTCGGGTTAGGACAAGCCCTGAACCAAAGGAACCCCCAAACCCCAAAATTCGACACCTATTTCTAATTCTCAAACCCTAGACCCTAAACCCTAACGCCCTTATCCTGGAATCTGCCTAAAACACGCGTTCCTGGGGGCCTCAGTGGCGGTGCTGTTGACCTTGGCTTGGTCTGCCGGCGGCGCCCCGAAGCCCATCACCTGTCGGGTTCAGGAAGAAAAGGTCCTTAATAATTGGAATAAGGTTCCTTGTAAAGGGGTCTATAGGAGCTGCCATAAAGGGATACTATAAGGGTACTGAAACATAGGGGCCTCTATCATTGAATAGTGTTTGGGGGGCACATTCCCTTACAACCTATAGTAAGGAACCACCAAAATTGCACAAGTAACTGTATTAAGTCTTCTCGGGATTGGGGCTTAGGGGGTATAAGGGTTTGGTGTCATTTCAGGATTGGGGTTTAGGGCTTAGCTTAAGGTTTGTCTTAAGTATAAAGGCAGAGTTTCGGGCTTTTGGGGCTAGGATTCAGGGCTTTAGGCTCAAGAAAAGGAGAAGAGAAGTTCGGAAGAACGAATCCAAAGCCATGTACACCTAAAAAAGTATAGGGCCCCAAAAAAGCAGATAAGCAAAAATTAGGATAGGGATATCCCATCTAAACCCCCTTATAATGAATCCCATTAAGGTAGGGATATCCCTATAAAAGCTTATGCTTATGTGCTTTTTGGGGTCCCTAAAGTAACTGGCCGAGAAGAAAGCGGATCCCAAGTAGCGGCCCAGTCACCGGATAGACGACGGCGACCGCCACCTTCCTTGATCTGCGGGTTTGAAGCTGTAAAGTAAAAGCCAGAAAGTTGGAATATGATTATCCTAAACCCTTTATGGTAAATTATAAGGCATCCGACCCTGAAACCATATTCCAACTTTCTGCAGTTCCCTTTAGGTTGCCAGCTTCAAGGTTTATGGGGCTTCATGGCCTTTGGGGACAGCGGCCTAAGACGTTTTTAGGCTTCAGGGTGATCTTGGGATTTGCCGGGAGAGGTGAGGGTTCAGACGGTCAAAAAAGTGGCGAGTGTTCTACAAAGCTCATCTCTGCGAGGATTAATTAACAAATACGGACCAAGCACAGCAGCAAGGAGTACGGTTGCGGGTGTTTTGGGGCAAAAAGTTAACAGAGGCCTTGAACGAACCCCAAACCCTAAAACCATAAAACATAAATATATAAGCCCTAATTTAAGCCAGATTCTGGTACACACCCGTGCTGAACAGATCCATGGCCATGTCGATCTTGGCACGGTTCTCTGCGTCGCCGGGGTAATACTGCGGTGCCTGAGTCTATACTGGGTGCTTGCAACGTTGTCGGGAAAAACATCCCGATGAGCCGTTTCCTTCCACCATCTCACTTTTTCGGCAAACACTACGGCGATCAACATCGAAAGTGATTCCCTCATTCCATGTGGGTGTGAACAGGGGGGTCCATTCATATGAGCCCAGGTGCATAGTTCGAGGCGATGAAGCGCATGATCGCATTGCCTTCCCCGATGCAGAACCCATCCGACCCCTCGTATGTCGGAATCTGGTGGAAAGGATTCTTCTCCTTGGCTGATCAAATCCGAGGTTGTGCCGTGCTTCAGAAGTCTTGAAGACCTGCCTATAATGGGTAGAAACTGCAATCGTAGAACCCCCAGCGAACACCGTAAAAGATAAGCTTCTTGTTTATTACTTACTACTGCTGCTGCTACCGCTGATGTTGATGATGGTGCTGCAGCTGTGCCTTTTACTTTCGATGCTATTGTTGCCACTGTGGTGGAAGTCGTTGCTGTTGCTGCTGGCTCCTGCTGATGGCGTGGCCGTTCATGCTATTGCTGCAGCTGCCACTGCTGCTGCTGCTGCTGCTGCCGCTGCCGCTGCCGCTGCCGCTGCCGCTGCCGCTGCCGGCTGCCGCTGCCGCTGCCGCTGCCGCTGCCGCTGCCGCTGCGGCTGCGGCTGCTGCTGCTGCTGCTGCTGCTGCTGCTGCTGCTGCTGCTGCTTATGTTCAAGCCAATACGGCGGTCGCTGCTGATAATGTTGAACTTGTTGATGATGTTGTCGAACTTCTTGCTAGAGTTGCTGTGGTTGGTGCTGGAGGTTTGTTGTTGCTGTTGAGGTTGTAGCTGTGGCTGTGGTTGTGGACGTGTTTGTTGCTGTTGCTATTGCTAGTGCTGTTGCTGTTGCTGTCGGTTTGGTTACTATTGCTGTTGCTGGTGTTGTTGTTGTTGTTGTTGTGGTTGTCGTGGTTGTTGTCGTGGTTGTTGTCGTGGTTGTTGTCGTGGTTGTTGTCGCTGTTGTTGTTGTTGTTGTTGTTGTTGTTGTTGGTGGTGGTGGTGTTGCTGTTGTCGCTGTCGTTGTGGTTGTGGTTGTTGTCGTTGATGATGATGCTGTTGTTATTGATGCTGCTGCTACTGTTGCTCTTGCATTTGCCGACTGCTGCTGTTGGTGTTGTTGGTGTTGCAGCTGTTGCTGTTGCTGTTGCTGTTGCTGTTGTTGTTGTTGTGGTTGTTGTTGTTGTTGTTGTTGTTGTTGTTGTTGTTGTTGTTGTTGTGGCTTGTGGTGGGGCTGTCGTAAATTATGGCCGCGGTGCTTGGCTGTGTGATTCTTTGCTGGCTTCTCCTCGTGCTGGTTTATGCTAATCGTTTGTGTCCTTGTCTGTTTGTCTGGGTGGTGTTGGTGGTGGCGGCGGCGGTGAGGTTGGCGCCTTGGGCCATCTCGTTCTTGTTGTTGTTGCTGCCGCTGTGTCCGGCTCTGTTGTTGTGTCTGTTGATGTCGTTGTTGTTGCTAAGAGCCCCGCTGCTGTCGTTGCTTTGATAGCTGTTGAACCCAAAGCCCTAAACCCGAAACCCCAAAAAAAAACATTCCCCTTAGCTTTAAGCAAACCTGATGTGGGAGTTTCCGAAAATAGGGGACCCTAAAATAGTACCCTAAATAGTAGGATCCTTATTATAAGGACCGGTACCCCTAATTTTCGGAAACTCTCATGTTTCAGTGGCCGCAGAGCTTCCAGGAACTCCGGTTTCTTGTGGGCACCCTCCATCAGATTACCTTACTTGTCCAGCTTCCAATAGGGAGTTTCTGAACACTAGAGGTACCTTATTTTGGGGTCCTTATAAGAAGGGTCCTAGAATTTAGGGTCCGATATTAAGGTCCCCTATTTTCGGAAACCCCCAATAGAAGATCATAAATGAACCTTAGGATCCCAAGGGTTGCTCATTTCTACTACAAAGCTACAGAGCTCCATGGCGCCGACACCAGTCTCCGTTGCAAGCATCAGCGATCCTGTGCAGTTCCTCGGAGCAGGGGTCGAGACCAGAAGGATGCTCAGTAGCTTTCAGATTTCGGGCCTTTAAGGGTTAGATATTCAGGGTGTAGGGTTTTTATGGGTTTCGGTTCGAGGATTAGGAGCCCTGCTCAATTCAACGGTAGGATGCAGAAGAACAACGTCTGAGAAAGTTTTGCAGTATCAACGCCAAGCCGTTTCGGAGGGAGCCCTGCATTCTAGGAACCCAGAAGCTCAAAGTACCTAACTACGGAGCGATTTCAACAGCCCCCAATGTTATGTGTAGTTGCTATCTTGAACCAGTAAGGGGAATTTAAGTTATCTGTATGTGGAGAGAAGGAAAGAGAGAGGAGAGAAAGAAGGAAAAAGAGAGAGAGAGAGAGAGATGTGATTCATTTATGTGTTTGTTCGTGTGTGGCAAAGTGAGGCTGTGCCATTGCAAGGCGTTCTACGGCAGAGCTTGGCGCTTCTCTCTGGGAGGCCTGGTGTGCTCGTCAAGGTCAAAGCACATAGATTGAGCAGAGAGCTCCAGCAGTAAACAAAGGCTCCTAAAACGCGGAGTGGGATGCTAGAGTGTTCGCAAACATTGTAACACGCAAATACTTGCGCACGTGCGAAGCTTGCCGCCTGCCTTGTCTTCTAAAGTTCGCTTGCAAACTGCAGGGCTTGAAGAGCTTCTGGGGTTCCTAAGGTGAAAGCCAGAAAGGTGGAACATGATTATCCTAAACCCTTTATGGTAATTTATAGGGTATCCTACCCTGAAACCATATTCCAACTTTCTGGAGTTCCCTTTAGCCCATGAACTTCAAGCCACTTGCCTCACAACTCGGCTCCTGCCTCGGGGCCCCCCGGCCATGAGTGCAGACCCCTGACTAATGAGCCTGCTCCTTCCCGGGAATCCTAAACCATAAACCATGGGGGGATCCGTGCTACAGGGAACTCCAGAAAGTTGGAATATGGTTTCTTGGTAGGATACCCTATAATTTACCATAGAAGGGTTAGGATAATCATATTCCAACTTTCTGGCTTTTACCTTAATGCGATGATTATCAACTTGTGGAAGTTGAGGTTCGCAGACACCGGCATACCATGGATCTTGGCCGCCTTCTCGCCAGCCTTGGCCGCGCCTGGAGGGCCGCCAGCATTCAAAAGCTGGATGGACTTTTGGGGCTGTGGGTTTAGAGTTTGCCCAGGAGTCGGGCACGAAATTTCGCAGGCTCTTCATCGATCGCTGCTGGCACGTATGCCTAGGGATGTAAAGTGGCAGTTTCAAAGGTGCGAGCAGTGAGCAGCGACTCGAACAGGTCGTGGAAACTTCCGAATCCCGCAATAGCCCTCTGAAGCAACAAACCGAAACAGCATCTACATTTACACTTCCGAGCAATATGCTGCGCACCTGTCTCCCTCCCCGGATGAGCACCTGTCTTCATGGCTCCTGCTGTCGGCCCGCTTCCACATGTGACCACAGAGCCCGCATAGTTTGGAAGATCGGTCTTGGTGGCGAGGAACTCCTGTACTTTCTTTTGGGGCTTTCGGAGAATTTTTGAGAGGCTTAAGCGCCTTTTCATGGTTTTCAGCAAAGCACGGCTGTCAAAAATGAAATTCATCAGGGGTTTACTGGTTTAGAGTTTAGTAGGCAGCTCAGAGAGGATAGGGCGCAGGCTGTCGACTTTAGTCCGAAACCCCCTCTTCGTTTGTAAGGACATGCGGGGTCCAATCTCCATCGTTGGTTCAATGTTTGGTTTCACCGGGTCCGGCTTCGGCGTTTCGTGGCTCCGAGTTCGGCACTACCTCGCTGAAAACTCCATGTTTGCATTGGGGTCTGAAGTCTGAGGGTTCTTTTAACGGGGGGTTTAGTTAGTATAAGGTCTAGGGCCCACTTTGCGCTTTTTGACGCCCTTCGCCATTTCGACAAAGTCCTATACCAGTAGCCCAAAATTTTACAAAAGGGTAGGCTATGACCCTATGATGACAGGGCATACCGTAACTTCCAAAGCAATCGGACATTGGAGCCACAGGTATATAACCTCTCGCAGAGCCAAGGAAGAAAAGGATTCAAAACGGCTGAGGGGCCAAATAAATCTACCTGAACCCATTGAGCTCCTTGTTGAGCTTCGTGATACGAGCAGGACCCTGAATATACGTTTGGTTAAACCAAACAGAAGGAACTACAACGGACACTACGCATAGCAAGTCCGGGAGTTTGGGAAGACAGGGGACCCTCCAATCGATCCGAATCCTTAAACAATCCAAAAACCTAAACCCTAAATCCAAAACCCTAAATCCCACCCCTAACCCCACCAACAACCCCTTTTCCCGAAAGCAAGCACTCCGAAGGGCCCGGAAGTTGGAGAAACCCACCATGTCGAATGGGGCCCTGAACTAGTAGAATAGGGTTTCGGGTGATACTGCTGGTCGAATAAGAACCTCAAAAACAGTATAGAGTTATATGGGATATGATACTACAGGTATGATAAGAAACCCCCAAACTGTAGTGTTCATTACATCTAGGGGGCTATATTAGACTTATCCCGCATCCCATACTCGGTGGGAGAGCTCCTCCACGCCGAAGCCGTCAGCCGCCTTCAGCATCGATGAGGATGGCATTGCCGCCATGCAATCCTTCACATACTGTTCCAGACGGGGGTCAATCTGAATGCCGGATTTCTGCTTGATCATGGGCTGCATCGCGCAATGCAAGTAAGGCATCACCTTGTAGTCTGCGATGGTGAGCTTGTCCCCACAAATGTACTTGCCTTGGCCGATGAAGGTCTTCTTGAAACAGCTCAGGATCTCGCTGAGCTCTTCGTTCACCTTCGCCTGGTCCGCGGGGTGTGAGCCAAAGCCCAAGATTGGGTAGGTCCTTTGGAGCCACTTCTGATACACCGAGGTTCCCATGGCGTCCATGGCCCAATCGATTCGGGCTCTCATTTTCGGGTCGTCCGGATAGTAAGCCGGGGCATACTTCGCGGCCATGTAGCGCAAGATGGCATTGGACTCCCCAAGGGTGAAGCCATCTGCACCCTCGTAGGTCGGGATCGTGTGGAAGGCGTTCTTCGCCAAGAACTCAGGCTTCAAGTGTGCACCCGACATGAGGTCGCAGAACCTTAGCCGATTGAGTGTCCGGCCACCACAAGCAACACAAGCAACCACAGTTCCTGTAGAGTCAGGTGTGCAAGATTCCTCTACTTTCCAATATAGTTCCTTTAGCGGTCTACTTTACAGGACTTAAATGTTAAGTCGGTTAAACCGAAAAAGAACTACGCCATAGACTATAGGTAGCTTCCCTACTTGACCCCTTGGGCAAGCAACTCAAAGGCACCAATACCTGTGTCTTGGGCAAAGAGTACCGGCGACATGGCGTTGCAGGAGAGGGTCAAACCATGAATCTTGGCCTTGCCGTCCGGCGCCGTGGCTGGGCCACCGCAAAGGTTTCCCATGGCTTAGTGGCGCACAAAGCTCTATAGGCGGAATGCGGCACGGGGGGCCTCACTGGCGGCAACAGCTTCTAGGAGATACCGCAAGCAAGATGTGTCAGCTTGAAGCTGCTAAGCAACAAGACAACACCGGGCGTGTGCATACCATGCCAAAACTCACATCACGCTGGTGCATGGTCCTGCATACACAAGACAGGAGCGCATGCTTCGCATTGCGATTGCCAAGGCTAGTGAAGGTTTGCCTCTTGCTACTTGCGGACGTTGCCTCGCCCTGAGGCTCCCGCCGCAAGTGCCCGTCTCTGCTCAATGCACTGCAATCCTAAATGCCACTCAACTCTTTTGCCACTGGACTCAAGTCTAGCCAGTTTAAGACCCCAATCATCTTGACCACTCAACTTGACCTGGAAACTATATAAAGCATTAAAACCTGAAGCCGACTTTTCACAACACGAAGCTCAAACCCTCAAGCCCTCTACCCCTGCTACTACAGTAGAAGCCAGAAAGTTGGAATATGATTATCCTAACCCCTTTATGGTAAATTATAGGGGATCCTACCATTAATCCATATTCCAACTTTCTGGAGTTCCCTTTACACCTCAATAAGCATCGTTTCCAGGACTGCTGCGACCCTCGATCTGGTGCAAGGCTGACAGGCCCACACCGAAAGTGTTTCGCAGAACCACCCTAAACCCTAAACCCTGAACCCTAAACCCTAGCCAAAACCCAGCCCCCCTTGGATGACTTAACAGATGACGTCAAATCATGCAATTTACCAGCCTCGCAACCCTTGCCTGAAACCTCACCAAGCCTGTTCCCTTCTACAGCCTAAACCTGACTCTGACTTCGTGGCCGCACCTTCGCCGCAATGTGCGCTTTGGGCCATAATCAAGGCCGCGAGATTCGACGATGGGTGAAACCCCTTGAAGGTTTGCGATATCAGGTTGCTAGAGATTGAGCTTTTTGCGGTGGGGTGAAGAGGGGGCAGTGAGGCTTTGTGTAGAAGCGAGTGTTATGGCCTATAGCCTATACCCTGCTATCTTTTGAACTTCATTAGGCCAAGGCTTGTGCAGGGGAGTTCCGGATCCTCAAAGGGGCGCAATACTCTTCGGATAAGGACTTCTGCTGTGACTCGGATTCCTGAAAGTACCCGGGAGCTACGAAAGCCGGAATGGACTAATCTGGCCTTACATGCATGCAGACCTCTGTTGAAAAAACATGTGTAAGTATACTTCTCCTTGACCAAAGAAGATGTTGAATATCCCAGTGGCCTGCTGAAGAAGAATCCTCCTGCAGCAGTAGGAGCCGAAATGGAAGCGACGGGATTGTCGGGCGAACAGCCACCTGGAGTGCCTAACACAACCAATAATTACACCGACGATGGTTTGGGGACTCTTAGTAAGTAGACTTATAAGTACCCTAAAAGGGACCCTAATTGGGATTATTGGTTTGGGGCATGTGGCTTCAAGGTTGAGGCTGCAGCCAAAACTTTCAACTCTGTAGATCCCAATCCTGGACCCGGAACCCGAACAACCTATCAATTAGGGTTTAGGGTTTAGGGCTTAGGGTTTAGGGTGGGGAATATGCCAGAATCGGAACTAGCAGCTCGCAGACCACCCGACAACGGAAGCCCTGCTAAACCTTTACTTGAAGTTGGGCAACATCTCAGAGCCTTCTTTCACGTGCAAAGCCTCTAAAGTCTAGTTGTCAGGGTACGTTCTGCTTCGGGTTTAGGGCTCAGGGTTCAGGGTTTCAGGAATAGGGTTTGTTTAGGTCTCTTGGGCACATTCGCATTGCTTGAGTCTTATGGGGTTTACCCTAGCCAGAACACGAAACCCAAGCAAGAAGTGATCTGGCACAAGTGACATTTTCTCTCGTGATCCGCCAGTGTCGGTGGCAAGGCTAGAATGTTTGTTCTCTTTTGTTCGAGAGCTCCTTTGGGGGATTCACGTCTAAGGGTTCCATCAGTAAGCCCATGTTTCAGATGGGCTGGAGACGAGAGCCAGGTGTGTCTACTACTCCTGAATGTGGCCAAGCTGTCCCTTGTCCGAGCCCGTTGCAAACACCTGAAGGACGGAGTGAATCCGGTATAACACAACCATCAGCGTTCCCGTAGATCAACCTCCATATGCATAAACAGTACTTCCTATACGGGCTCTACGGTCGACCAGTCCTGACTACAGCCTCTGGGTTGCTGTCAGAATAGGGCAGAGAACCCGAATACTTGTTTGGCGTCATGAAACAACTGGAACCTTGAAACCACCCGCAGTCAGAACCGAGGAAGCCGTTACCCTCATGGCAGTGATCGGACCCCTTGTCCCCGGAGTCTTCGCATAATTCTCTACCGAAGTCTTCGCATAATTCTCTACAGCGAATCCTCGAACGTCGAACACCGCAAAGATGACCGATATTTTGGATTAGTGTCCAATTAGGACTCCTAACTAAGACGCTTTCGAAGTCAGGAGAATGACTACCTTAGCCGGCACCCAAACTTACCAAATCACAAGCATATAGGGTCACACTCCCAAAACGAAGTCCGTTTCTGAAGCACTCTGACCATGAATAGCAGAGGAGGGGTGGTTGCTCCATCTGCACTCTAAACTTCGACCCAAAGTGCACAAAGTCGAAGTTCCTCCACACCCTTAAACCCGAGACCCTAGAATTCACGCAGAGTCTCCATCGACACAGCACACCAAACACCCTAAACCCTAAACCACCTGGCTCCCAAGCCTTCGCAAGGCCTGCCGGGATGGCAATCTGCCACTCTCAGCTCAGCGCGACGAGCACATAATCCACGGACAGTTTGGGCAGAATCTAAGTTTAACAGCTTCGTAGAGCGTGATCTTACCCGGAAACCTCCTGAGTTGGAACAGTGACGACCTGTCATCCTCCTAACCTGGAGTATCTCTCTCTCTCTCTCTCTCGCTCTCTCTCTCTCTCTCTCTCTCTCTCTCTCTCTCTCTCTGTCTCTCTCTCTCTCTGTTTCTATATGTGCGTGTACCCAACCAGGATATATATATATATATATACATGTAATGTATATATATATATATATATATATATGTACGCACATATATATATATATATATATATGTATATACGCATATACAGATATATATATATATATATATCCCACTGTATCCTAAAGCCCCTTCATCAAACCACAACCATCCTGATAGCAAAATGCTAGAACCCTTATCGAGCCATCCCCAACTGACCCGTGGTTAAGTCTAAGGGCCTGGCTCTTGGGTAGAAAAGCCACATGGACCAAAAGGGAGAATGATTCTAGGACAGGAAACCTCATTACTTCCGTGGGGTAGAAGCCCTAAACCCTAAACCCTGAAAGACGCAGAAGCCTGAAAAAAAAGAAGAGGCTAATATTGGGGCCTTCATGATTAGAGTAGGGTTTTGGGGCCCATTATCCTATAATCCTAATAGGGAACCTCCAAAATGGTATTGGTAGTTATTTAATCCCCTGTATTACCCCTAAGTATAAGGGCTCTAAAGGGCTTCTGGGATAAAGGCTTTGGAGGGCTTAGCACACCGGATAATCAAACTATTCTTTGAGGATTATAGTCTTAGCAGTACAGATATGCTGGGCTGTCACGGTCTAAGGCCTCAGGGCTTAGGGTTTCAGGCGTTTTGGTGCCTCCTACTGGGTCTCAGGGTTAACGGGGGTTGAGGGCTTGGACTTTGGGGTTTTTTAAGCCTGAGTGCTCATATCATTAAGTGTGGCGCTGCGCAACAGCAACTTCTTAACTTACACACCGGCAAACACTGGGACCACCCTAAACCGTAAACCCGCGCAGGAGTCAAGGATGCTGCTACACTGATTTCCGAAAATAGGGGACCCTCTTATATATATATATATATATATATATACATATATATACATATATATATATATATATATATATATATATATAATATATATATATATATATATATATATATATATATTGTTTACCCTAAATAGTAGGATCCTTGTTGTAAGCCCCCCCAAACAGGGTACCCCTTCTTCTCGGAAACTCCCATCTCGTAGTAGAGCTTCAATGAACCGTTACCCTGAGGAGCCCAAAAACACCCTATAATCATGTACACCCTAAGACACCTAAACCCGAAACCCTAGGCAATAAAGCCCTAAACCCTAAGCTTGCTATCTGCGGCTGTTTTTTTTGACAGCGAAGCAAGAACTGTCACAGCCAAGAAACTCAAGAAACGCACATCAGAAGGAGCCATGGACAACCGTTGTAATGGTGAACATTCAGTAGCGCATGCCTCGGCGGATAGCAGCATGATGTAGATGCAAGCCCAATTTTTTTCAGGAGGGGGGTGGCAGTGATGCACACTGCTAGGCGAGTTTTCGTGTAGAGCCGGCTTTGTATGCATAAGCCCTCGAACCAGAAAACCCCAGCCTAAACCAAGATGTTGCCCAGCCGCCAGCCGCGCCAGACTTTGTAAGAAGGGGTGCCAGAATTGCTCCGGATCTCTTCTGGCTCTTTCATCGGAAGTAGAGAATCGTCGTGGGGGTAATTACATCCTGTGGCTAAGCTACACGTATCTTCGACCACTAAGCCAAAGCCAAATAAAAGAGGTCCATGAGCACTGCTAAAGAAGTTCGGAAGCTTCTGAATTAATGCATGCAGCTGAGCATTCCTACTGTCAGGCAATCTTCGGTTGAACAGTCTTGGCACGGCGAGTAGTTATTGTCCCACCATGGCAACAAAAAATACCTGCGGTTGGTAGGCAGAACTCCTCCCACTAGTGCTCGGCATGTGCAAAGACAACTGGTGATAAACAGCGTCTACAGCAGACAGTGCCAGTAACGCCGTTATCGCTGCGGTCCTCGTGTTTCAAGCTAAACCCTAAATCCTAACCGTGAAATGGATGGCCTGCAAACTGGAGTCTGGGACTTCCGGTCCTGTCAGAAGGGATCCTACTGCTCAGGTTCTACACTCGCGTCCCTTAAATGAACTTGCCAAATGCAATGAACCCCACACCCTGAAACCTAAAACCCCAAACCCAAGCCCTAAACGCCAAAAACCCTAAACCCCATGAACCACCGTGGCTTTCGATCATGGGCATGTCTTTTCCAGCTGTGCACAGGTGGGGGAGTCTGATCTCTGACTTCGCGCTCATCTGACAGGTCCAAGGACGTATCGTTATGGGTGACTGATAAGATAATCATAGGGGCCTTAACTAATGATGACTAGAATAGGGTATGTTTTGTGGGGGTATATGTAGCTCCGTACCCATGTGGAATAAGTGCAGCATGCTATCAATAAATATTCAAGCCCGTTGACGCATGGAGGAGGGTTTACATTAGGGATCATTAGGGCTTTTTTGAAACATTGGAGAAAAAGAATATTCAGGTCTGGTTTTGGAGGGCAAAGTCGCAGTATATAACCCCTACACTACTTCACGTGAACATACGTACACTCCCAAATCAACCTAACTTGCATCCGAGAGAGATTTGCCTGCATGCTTGCAATGTGGACGCAAGATCCAAGATCCATCCGTGTCTCTCACAGCCCCTTGGCCGCAAAATGGTTTAAATAGGGTCTAAGGTTTACGGTGTAGAACCAACAAGTGCAAGGTCTTGCAAGGTTTGATAAGCCATAAACCACATGATTTCAGCCTGAACCGAACGCTGGTGGGTTGGGAAAGCTATATCGGACGGACAGCCCTGACAGACTCTGTGACTTTGTGCGCAAATTGCTGAGCCCCATGGTGTCACTGCAACAAGGAAAGCGTACCAGGCTCCACACCAACGAGTCATCTTCCTACGCTTCGAAGAAAGTACACTTGAAAGCCAGCTTGCACTGCGGAGAAACGGCTACACAAACCGAGCAGCTCAATGATTGTTCCCGTGATCTACGGGGTTAGCAACGTAGCAACTAGATGCAGGTACTTGCTTGTTACAGACTCCTTTCTCAAGTTGATTCACCCTACCACGAGACCTGTGAACACAAACACGGGTTTTAGTAGGTCAAGGTAGACGCTGAGGATGTTCGGCCGATCAGGCACGACACAGGCGGACTGGATGTGAACGTCCGGGAACAGAGCACGAAACTTGACCAAGCACACTCCCACGGGCCGCTGGGAAGAACAAGTAGGCTCTATTAAACGTGTCAAGCTTACCAGCGCTCGTACTTGGTGTGGGTCCCGAGCATTTGAGAAGGCAGGTTTCCGGGTAATACAGGGTTTTATTGATGAGAATATGGCTTTAGGGGGTAGTATACCATAGATGTACAAAGACGTCCTTCAGGCCCGGCCCTAGAATACGATCATGGGACAGGAGACGGCGGTGTGATAGGCCCAAAAGAGTAAACATAGTGGACATGATTCCCGACAGGATTGTCGGATGGCTCCTATTGACGATGTCGACATTTAGGCCCCTGCGATGAAGCAAATCATTAACCCCAGAAAGAGAATTACGGAAGAGACTATAGCAAGTTTGTATAGGAACGAGTTCAGCCATGGGTACTTCTTCCCATGCTTTTCAGGCAACGTTCAATTGCCTTGCACCTCCTGTGTTCATCCAGACAGCAGAAGGACCTGGAGGAGGGAGACCAGGCCCTAAAAACAAGAAAAGAGTTGCAGGCGATATTGCAGTGTAACTAGCTTGTGCGAGCTCACACGGACTATACAATAAAGGGAACTCCAGAAAGTTGGAATATGGTTTCAGGGTAGGATACCTTATAATTTACCATAAAGGGTTAGGATAATCATATTCCAACTTTCTGGCTTTTACTGTATACAATAATTGTATGACCAAGTATTCTGCAGCACCTCGGTCTGACTTCTTGCCAAAGACTGAGACTGCGTGACTTGGTGCGACACTCTCGGTCCTCAATGGCTTCCAACTGTGTCCGGTGAAATATAGGGGCCTAGTTAGAACAGGGTTTGGGGGGCAATACACTATGATTTATAATAAGGAACACCCAGAATAGTAAAGGTAATGGTTTTAAGCCCCTATGTTATGTGGAAGGATTAGGCATGATCAGGCGTCGCGGTTGAGCGAAAAGGGCCAGGGGTCTGGTCTAAGGCCACCATATTCCAAACCAATCAATCCCTAAAGCCCCGTAACCCTTGGGCCCCTAAATCCGAGACTCCCAAACCCCTACATAGCCCTCATCCATGGCATAATATAGGGGCCTTACCAAGTAAAATGGGTTTCGGGACCCATGATGCTAAATCATAGCAAAGAACCCACAAAATAGGGCTATAAGGCCCTTATATTACTTTCGATCCTAAACCCTAAACCCTGAACCCTAAACCCTAACCGAAAACCCTGATGGTTTTTTGGGGACAACGGCTCTCGTCGTCTCCCTCCTCGTCGGTCTTTCGGAACCCATGCTGAGGCTTTCGAGACATAAAGCCGCTGCTTCGCAATCCTTAAAACCCAAGCGTATACAGTAAACCCCAGAAAGTTGGAACATGAGTTTAGGATGATTAGTGCTAGGACCTGCTAGGATTCCCTCTAATTTACCTTAAGGGAATGAGGATAATGATGTGCCAACTTTCTGGTTTCTACTTCAGGGTTTAGGATTTCTCGAAGGGTTCCTTTAAGGGTCTACTAGAGGGGTCGGCATTTCCCAAAGCCCTACACCCTGAACATCTTCAAGCCCCCCAAACTCCCTACCCAGATCCTAGAATCTCAAGTTGAAGCAGCCAGAATTGGGAAGGTTCGGAGTGTCAGCTTCGCTACGGATGCAAGTCTGGGACCCGTCATTGAGGGAATGACCAACATGGGGGTCTGTGTACCAAACAAACATCACTACAGTACACGGTCTTTTTTTGACGAACTTATTATAAACAAGTCGCCAATGTCTTGGAAAGCCTCTTCAAGGCCCGGCGTTCGTGCTGGGGATTCCTTGTTGAACCTCTGCCAGTCGTACTTTGCAAACGCCCGGACCCCTTAGCGGCGAAGTCGTGCTGAAACACTGAGGCCTTGGATTAATCCCAGATCCGAAAACCTCGCTCGAAGCCATCAAGAGACCTTTGTTTTGGGTGTTTTAGCGCTTTCTAGTCTGGGTTCGCAGTTTGTGACCTGACAGAGATAGGATTTTGTTGGCTACGGGTATGCTCAGGCACTCAGCATGAACCCGTACGCACTTCCTAGGGAAACAGCCTTAAATGAAACCTTACTTCACGTAGATCTGCTTCCATTGAACATCAAAGGCCCAGAGTGCAGGAGGAAGAGCCGTCAAAGGCCTGCATGCCCGTCTGTAGCGTCAACATGCCGTCCGCCTATCGGAGGCGCCCAAGAAAATCCACGCACCAAATACTCTTGACTTGGCTTCGGCGTTTAGGGTTCATGGTTTCAGGCTTCAGTGATTTGCAGGTCGAGGGGTTTAGGACTAGGAATCGTGGACTGCGATTTGCGATTTTGAGCTTTCCTCTTCTTTCAAATGAAGCATGCAGGCTTGCAAGGATTCTGTGTCATGCCAGGGGCAAGGCCAACCGCTACAGTGAATCGCAGCTGTTCCATTCAGGCCTTTCATGAAAGTAGCATCTCCGCAATTTCAACTCGAAAACCCCGATTCCCAGCCATGCCTGCGCACAACCAGGCTTCCAATGAGTTAGATGCCGGAATGAAGCACGATACTTTCTAGAGCCCTTTGACAAAACGCTCCGCCCCTGCGCAACACTTCTGAAAGCTTTTTGCGAACTACATACGTATATTCAGAAGACGACAGCACGATGGTCGACTATTCATAAGCTCCCTCGGCATGCCACAGCAAAGGATTTCTGCGACGGCCGAATTCAGCCGGAGGGTCTTGGAATTTCCAGAACTCCGGTGTTTACATCGCACAAGTCAAGGGTTTAAGCTTTCGATTCAGATCCGACCACCTCGCAGGTGTTGCTGCTTGCAGGTGTACTGGTTGAAGTCGCAGTAATTACTGGCCGTCAGCGTGGTAGTGGTATGGTAGTGGTAGTGCTACTGCGAGTGGTAATGTAGTGGCCGTGATAGTGGTAGCAGCTGTGGTGGTCGCAGTGGTTCAGTGTTTGGGGTGTTGTATGGCGCGGGGAAGTCTTGCCGCTTTAATATTACACTACAGTATGCCATATTGTAGACATCTCCTCGCCACGTTGTTGCATCAGGACTTGTGCAACCGCCTCCTAAAGAAGCAACTCGACCTCAAAGACCAAATCCGTGAGCAAGAAGCCCCAAGTGCCTGATATCCGAGTCCATGTGCGCAGCATTGTATGTTTCAGGTGTCGACTCTAGGATCATAGGGAAGTGCGTGTCAGTATCAACTTGACAATTCCTTTCCCTAAGGGTCCAAAGGACCCAATAATTAGGTTCTTAAGTTTAGGATAATAGTTATGTAGGCTACTATTTGGGAGAGTATATGATAACTAGGTACTCGGACCCTTAGGGTTTGGGGCCTGCCTTCCACGCATTTGATCCGGCCAGGCCGGTTCCGTGATGTGGGAATGCGCGTCCTGGGTTCACAGGAGGCACTTAAATTAACATGGCCGAACGGTGTTTAGCATTTAAAAGTTTTAAAGGTTTATGTGTTCAGGGTCAAATCCCCCAACCGCGTCTTTCAACCAGAAAGCAGCAATTTCAGTAAAGACGCTTTGAGTTTAAAGTACAAAGTCTCCGCAGGAATTGAAAGGCACGGCTGCGGGCACAACACACCTGATTTCTTTTGCGCTAGCTGGCATCTCCCTGGCCCACGGAGGATGCTAAGTATCACTGCACCGTCAACTCCTGCGATGCAAACTTCGTTTTGACGACCTGTTGTTCTTCCGTAAACCCCAGACACACCACGCATCCTAGTTATATCCCTGTTTGCAAACCTTGCAGGACTGCAAGCCCCAAGTTTCATACCCTACGGAAGGCACCTGGAATGCTCCCAATGTTCGGCCTGACCTAGACATCAACCTTATCTCGGTTGCTTTGTTTTTGCGTGGCCCTGTCCCCAGCTCGGGCGTCCAAAGAAAGGCAAAAAAGGTGCCAAGTTTACACCATTGGGCTCAAGTCTAGCCAGACTTTTTACCCTATTTCCTAAACATCAACCCTTGGATGAGCTGGCGAGTCTCAAAGAATGTGCCGGCGCCAGCGTTTGTTCGGTCGCCGACCCTGATCCACCCTCTCCTGGGGCCTGGCAGAAGGATCTCGAAGATTTGGGGCGTAGGGGTTTGTGTTTGTATTTCGGGTGGCGGGTTTTAGAGGTTTGAAGCCCAAGGTGGTTTTCTGAAGTGTTTTGGTTTCATGGGCCTCGGAATCATATGGGTAGCTCTAAGAGATCGAGGGTCCCGGATTTTGGGTCCCAGAAACACTACGGCACCCCTATACCAAGGCAGCCGAAGGGATCCTAAGTTAGAGAACTACCCTCCTCACTGGCCCAAACCCCAAGGAAATAAAAGTTGAAACTTTCAGAATCGACTACCTTATACGAACCCCAGAAGTTGAAAAGTTGAGCTTAGAGCTAATAAGACTAATTATAGGAGGCCTCCAGAGAAACACTTCTTGCATTCGCCGTTTGTTGCTTCAGGGAGGTGGCTGGCGGTCGAGGCTCAGGAATCATACAGGAGCTCATCTGGGCTTAGGGCTTAGGGGTGTTTCAGATACTCTCTCTCTCTTTCTCTCTCTCTCTCTTTCTCTCTCTCTCTCTCTCTCTCTCTCTCTCTCTCTCTCTCTCTCTCTCTCTCTCTCTCTCTCTCTCTCTCTCTCTCTCCCAGGCATTCGAAACGTCAAGACCCATGGATACTACACCCTAAAACCCGACAGCCTGCTCCCCGGAAGCCAGAAGCCCTAATCTCCAACCCTAAGACCTCGAACCATTGAGATTTTCTCAGGGAAGCGGTTGAGGGTTTGTAGGGTTTAGGATTTAGGGAATCTTCAAGCATGCTCTTATAAATGAGGTGAGAGAAGGTCTGGGCTCCTATGGACACGAAAGCATACGGTAAGGGTTAGGGCTTAGGGGCTTTTATTCAGATTTAGGGTTCTATTTAACGGGTTTACGGTTTTGGGTTTAGCTCAACATAGCACATAGTCTTGGGTCTCAGAAGCCTTGGGGTACCCGACGCCCATCCTACATTGTTGAAGCCCAAGCCGCCAATAACACTATTGCTTCAGTTTTCTGTGCACATGTGTGTGTGTGGCTATCACCCAAGTACATCCCATTAAATACTCAAAGTTGACGTATTCGCTTTTGTGACTACCTGCAGTCCCAAGCCCCACCGAACATGGCAGGTTATGGCCTCTTCAACTATACGGTATAACTCTTTGCAAAAAAACTAGGCAACCGGAGTTAAGGTAGACGACAGTATGAGGATGTTCCCTAATCCTCGTCGTTTTGGACCTATGGCTGGCTTCTGGCATGGAGTGGGCTCGAAGTGGGGAAAGACATTCTGCCCTGAACCCTCAACCCTTAAACCCTCAAACCCAAACTTGCTTTTTGCTTTGGGCTCGCTCGCCTCTGGGCGGCTTCGTGGCAGCGCGCACGCCCCAGGAACTCGGAGAGCCCGACGGCGGAGGCCTCTTCTCTCGTTTTTTTGACACTCACACTCGGACAAAGCCTGGCAAGGCTTTTAGACAAAGGAACAAACTGTCAAGTACCATGCACTTCTCTCGTTTTGGATGTTAATGGATCTTAGGGGTTTTGGGCTTAGAGGTTTAGGGTTGCGGATGTTTGTCAAGGGTTTTAGGGTGAAGGGTCTAAGGTTGGGTTTCGGGGTTTGGACTTTCGCGACTCGGACGACGCAGGCTTAGGGTTCGCAGCTCTTTGGCTTCGGGTCTTAGAGTTCGTTGCTCGATTTGGGATTGTGTTTCTCCAGACCCTGCGGCACTCAATCCTCCCCAAGAGTTTGATCCAGAGAACAAAGCCTAGAATATCACCCGTCGAGAATCTAATAGCCTTTCTAACATAGCCCCCTCCCCCGAAAGGGGCCCTACATAAGTATCAGAAAAACTTTCTGCATCTCTGTAATCCCTTAAACCTCAACCCTCTCTCTCAGAAGCCCACTATAGGCTATAGGGGCCTTAATAATTAGAATAAGGTTTTGGGACCCATTATACTATAATTCACCAAAATGGTATAGATAATTATTGCCGCCCCTCTAGCACATGCTTTTCTTCTCGGCCACAGCGCCTCATCCCCTTTAAGGAGGCATTCCATGCCAAGGTCCCGCAGCTCCAGCAAGCCTCGAGGTGGCCACGATAATGGCTTAGGGCAGAGGGTTTAGGGACATGATTATGCTATCAGGGCTTACTTACTCATCAGGTTCCATAATGGATATATATATATATATATGTTTATTTGTTTATCCAGGTACTTGTTAAAGGTATGTAGAGTGGTGTCAGTGTTTTCTCATGAGTTCATGCAGCAGGGTTTGTATTACGGGTATGTAGGTTCTGGATGTCAGTATGGCGAAATTGCGGACTATGTTTCCATGTGTGTATATACATTTATACATACACATTTTACATATATGTATATATATATATATATATGTATATATATATATATATATATATACATATGTGTGTGTGTGTGTCTATATGTCTGTGTATATATATATATGTATATGTATATGTATATGTGTATATATATATATATATATATGCAAACGAGCCTTTATCAGGCTTTCTCATGCTTGCGAGATTTCTGCGGGTGTCTTCAAGTTAGGGGTACCTGATCCCGTGTTCTACGGGCTTTGGGGTGTTATGAAAGGTTTTGTTGTGTAGTTTTGAGCTTCTGGATGACATTCCCACTTTACATCGATGCATGGCTGCTTCGAACAACTGTACTCCTAAATCCCACAACCCCCGAATCAACCAAAAAGCCCATTCCGAACAAGATGCTGTTGTTATGGGGTTTGTCCCGCTCGCATGGCTGGGCACAAATGCTTGGGCTTGAGGGTTTATGGTTGTACTGTTGATGATATAAATCTAGAGGACCCTAGACTATGGGAATTATGGGATATTCCTTATTATGGGTAATGCAGGATTTACATCATCCACCGTATGTACTGTCAAGCCACACGAGCGATCCAACCAAAGATCGGTGCACTCCGCATCTTCGTTTGGATCCTGGAGCTTGGGGCGTAGGAGGGCTTAGGCTTACGGGGTTTAGGGCTCAGGGGTAGTTACAGCAGGGGGTCTATAGAGGAGTCTAGGCTTTGAGGGTTTAGGGTTAGGCGTAATTCACGATTCACGCCTTGCGTGGGGCTCGGAGGGGTTGGGTTCATCCCAAATTTGATATGCAGCCCGAAACTATACGCGCCTTAGAACCAAGGCAAGCACGCTTTCTTTATCGGTAACTTCTTGGATTTATCTCATACCCAACTGCCCAACAAGTGCCAAGGAAAGCACGTCTTGAACATGCTTGACCCTGGGCCGTGCAAACCCCCACACCCTAAACCTAAAACCCCTTGGCCTAAGACATGGTGGCTAGCAGTTAGCAGTTGGCACTGATGCTCAGTGGTTCCCATGTATTCGCAAGTTGTGGTGGTGGTGGTGGTGGTGGTGGTGGTGGTGGTGGTGGTGGTGGTGGTGGTGGTGGTGGTGGTGGTGGTAGTGGCGACGACGGCCGCCAACGGCCAACAAAGATTGAACAGTAGCAGCAGTCATGCTCCTTGTCGCAATTATAGGCCGGCGTCGTAGTGGAGCAACTTCAGTCTTTGTCTTCTCGTGGCTCGTCGTCGAACCCAGGACTTTCGCAAATGACCACTGCAACGCATACTTCAGGCTTACTTGTGTGATCGTCGGCGCCTTGAACTCATGTAGATTTGAATAACAAGACCTCAAGACGAGCTGGATTCGGAACTAGACCCAGCTATGGCTTGAGTGACATCGCTTAAACGCTCACACATACCGCAGATCCCTCGGAGCTGAAGCTACTAAACTGAATCCAACTTCCTCCCTAAACTCTAACCCCTGCTCTTGAACCCGGCGTCCGTAAACTCGTGCATGAGCTTCAGGAGCTGTTGCACCAGGGGCTGAGTTGAGGCTCCTCCACGCAGGGCGTGGGAAAAAGGGCGCGGCTTTCTGTCGGGAGTTTTCGTTGTTCAGATTTGGGCTACGGGGTGCTTCAAGCCCATGGAAGCTGCTTGGAGTTGTAGAGTGAACTAAATGAACTAAGCTTCAGCTCAGAATGTCCTATACATGTGAAGGTTCGAAGACTCCAAGCCGGACTGCTTAAAGACAAAAACACAACAAAAGACAAACACCCAACGCTCACTCACACACACACACACACACACTCCCACACTCATGACCACAGATTTTCAGGCGTATATGTACACACCCATATATATATATATATATATATGTATATATATATATATACATATGCGAACAAATGTGTGTGAGTGTGCACATGAATGTCTGTGTAGGTGGCTAGGTAGGTATGTATATGTGTATGTACGTGTATGTGTGTGCACGTGTATGTATGCACGAATGTACGAATGTACAAATGCGCGAATGCACGAATGCACGTACCTACTTACGGTTGCTTACGTGCGTACGTACGCAGGTATGTATGTATGTATGTATGTACGCATTATATATTTATATATATGAACACATCCATATGTACTATGTATACTACGTATGTGCAGTTATGTTTACACACGCGTGGTGTACGGATACATGTGTGTATGCGCGCACACCCACATGAAGTGGCCCTCCATCTTACTCCCAGGCGTTGACCGTGAGACCGAAGGCTTTCTAACTGCCACAATACTCGACAGTCATATTCCCGAAACTGAGCCCCTGAACCCTTCCGAAACCCCCGACGAGGTAAGCTGCCTGCAGATCGTGCTGCGGCAATCGCCTCCGCCAGCATCTGAAGGGGCCGCCTTCTCAACCCCGAACCCCAAATCCTAAACCTCAAGCCCTTTATGAACGAGGTCTATAACCCTTTTTTGCCACTGGGCTTGGGGCTATTTAGCCCTTCTTTACACCTCTCTCTCTCTCTCTCTCTGCCGTGCCATCATCAAGTGTCTCGCAATGCAAGGGCACGAAAAATGCAGGCCAGAATATCAGGAAGCGTAGCGCGAACGCTGAACCTCCTTCATCCTTCGGGCCACTGAACTGGACAAGAACTTCTTTACACCTGGACTACGCATATATAACCCCAAACTCTAAACCCCTGGCCCTAAACCTTAAGCCCTAAACCTCAAGCCTATATAAATCCTAAACCTAGGAGGCTCGGCTCGGCGGCTGAAGCTTCTTGTGGTTTCGGGTTCAGGGTTTTTTTCAGCTTATGGTCTAGGACCGCTTAGGGTTTATAAGGTTGAGAGTTTTTAGGGTTTCAGCACTCACTCTCAGACAAGCCTAGGCGAGGTTTTAGGGCTTGAAGTCTCAGGTTCAGGGATTACTGTAGGTTGATTACGTGCTTGGTGCTGTTGCACTCTTCAACTTGAAGCTCTGGCGCTTCGGGCTGCAAGGTTTCAGGGTTTCAGGCTGTAAGGTTTCAGGGTTCAGGCTTCAGGGTTTTAGGGTTCGGGCTGTAAGGTTTTAGGGTTCAGGTTTCAGGGTTTAAGGGGCTGAGCTTCGAGTCGGACCCGGGCTGACATGGGTTGACCTGCTGCCGCCACCCAGACCAAGTGCAGAACGAATGGCGAAACTCGGCGCGACCATTGAGAACCCATAGAACTGCAGCCATCGGCGGTAGAAGACATGATAGTGACAGTTGTGCTCAGACAGCAAACTAGCAGCAGTAAGTGCTGCTCGGTCGGTGTCTGCAAGTAGCTGTGCCAGTACCCCTTCAACCCAACCAGCCTACAGCACCTGATCCGATACCCTAACCCTTATAACCCCTAATATAATTTCTACACCACCCCTCAAACGACCAAATCAAGCCCCCCTTAAACCCTAAACCCTAACTAAAGCCCTAAACCTAAACCCCTAAACCTTAAACCCTTAAACCCTTTTTTTTTACACCTGGACTACGCATATGCCTTAAACCCTAAACCTTCAACCCTGAACCCTAAACCCCTTAACCTTAAAACCTAAACCACTTAAACCCTCAACCCTTCAACCCTTAAACCTTGAACCTCTAAACCCTAGAGCCCTACACCCGAAAGGAGCTTAGCCTCGAAAGGAGGGATGCCTTGCTCTGCAGAAGATAGGAAACCTCGGGTTTAGGCTTTGAGCGTTTTGAGGCTTCAGGGTTTAGGGGCTTCTTTTGGTCGGTTTAGGGTTTAGGGTCTAGGGTTTAGGGTTTGAGCGTTTTGGGGCTTCAGGGTTTAGGGTCTAGGGTTTAGGGTTTGAGCGGTTTAGGGTGCCAGTGTTCAGGGTTTCGGGTATATAGGGCTTTTAGGGTTTAGGGCTTGAGTAATTTAGGGACTCAGGGTTTCGGGTTTAAGGTTTAGAGGTTTAGGGTTTGCCTTAGCCCTGAATAACCTACCTTTTTAGGGTTCCTTATTATGATTTCCTTATATAAGTCCTTAAAACGGTAGGTCCTTCAGGGTTAAGGTAGGGTTTAGGGTTAGAGGTTCAGGGTTTACGGAACTTTTTCCACAAGGGACGCGACTGCTGCCCTTACTTCAGTGGGGTTTGTGGTGTGATGGTAGGGCCTTTTGTTTAACACGGGGTGCTGCGTGACTCGTTTTTGGCTCAATGGCTGAAAGCCTCCTGTTTTTAGGCTTTAGGGTCTTAGGGAGGCGGACAGCTAGAGGATTTAGGCTTTGGGGGTGTAGGCTCTGGGGTTCAGAGGGTGTAGGGCTTTAGGGCTTCAGGGTTTACGGCTCTAGGTTTTAGGTTTGAGCTTAGGATTCAGGGTGTAGTCTTTGAGGTTTCCGGGTGCCCTGTCGTTGAAGCCTGTTTTGTAGGTTCCTCCGAATGAAGTCTCTGGCAAAAAGGTTCATGTAGGTGTCGTGGTTTCAGAGGGGTTTAGGGTTCAGGATTTGCTAGCTGTGTCAAACAAGTTTCGACTGCAAAACACTGCCACGAAGCTTAGTAGCTCCAAGAGGGAGATGCACTAGCCCTGAATCCCTGAATCTCCCGTCATGTTGGAACATCAGAAGCTTGCTGCAATGTTTTGCATCCACAGATCTGGGACTGCTTGGAAAAAGAACCCCCCTAAACCACAAGCCATGAACCACCGAACCACAAACCAAAACCCGTAAGCCCAAACGTTGCACTCAAACCGCCGAAAGACAATCCTAATTCAGCATCCCCAGCACTTTTTTCGGGATCGAACGGTTTAGCGTTTAGGGTTCAGGGTTAGGGTTGCTGGGCCCTTGGTTTACAAGCCCGATTACCCTAAACCTAAGCACTTGACTCCTTAACATGGCCTCATTCTCTTCTAGACCCAAGAGTAACCTAGGAACAAGAAAGATAACCTAGGAACAAGAAAGAGCGCCCTTTTTTGGTTTAAAGGGGCTTATAGGGGAACCTGAACCCTAAAGAAAGGGAATAAGGGCCTACTCTAGGTCCCAGTCTTCGATGAACGCTTTGGTCTTCGGGGCTCGTGGCCAAGGCATTTTCAAGTGTTCAATGGAGAAGGATTTACGCTCTCACAGCAGGGACTTTGCCATGACTCCGAAGTGGAGGCTATGGGCTCTGTCAAGTTGCAGAACATTCTGGAAAGACATGTCGATCCAAGTTTGAGGACTTAGGGTTAGGGGCGGTTGAGGTTCTTGGGGTCTATGCAACTAGCGACCTGGTCCTGACAATTCGTGCAACATTTCCGGGCCCATGCGTCTGCTTAACTGCAGACCCGTAAAAACCACAACTTCATGTTCAAGGAATGCATCTTTGAACTTTCAGGACACCTAAGGGCTTTGGGTTTAGGTGTTGGGGTTTAGGGACGCACTATTCAATCACACCCTACACCGAGCCACGATGTGCTCCTGCTGAGCCCAGGTTGCCGTCTCTAGTATGGAATTCGACACCTTCGGGGCCGAAATTATAGGGGCCTCAATATGTAGAATAGGGTTCCTGTTAAAGGGGTCTGTGTGCGCCGCTTTCAGGAATTCCTTTCAGGGCATGGGTTTGGGAGAAGTCTGGAGTTTACAGACACTTGCTTAGAAACAAACCTAAGAGCGGCATTCTCCATTGTAGTGGCTTGTTTGAGTTTAGCCAGTTCTACTTATTTAGGATCCGATAAGGCAACCCAGAAAAGGATCTACAAATGAGACTATCGGCTCTAGGAAAGGTCCTAACCCATCAGCATCCCAAGCCGGTCTAAACAGGCAGGGGTGAAAAGGTCTCTCGCTCAAGCTTTGCACTCTAAGGACCAGAGGGTCTTGCGCTATTGCACCGGCTGGTAGAAGTTTCGTTTGAGCGCATGCTTGGTGAGCACATCAGCTGCTGGGAATCTCAACCCCAAACCCTAAACCCGCAAAACCCGCCACGAAAGGGATCAATGATTATTAATTGAGGTCGTGATTAGGCGAGAATCGCGTTTCGCCGGAGCTGACAATACTACCACGATACTACCACTACTCCTGCTGCTGCCACTGCTACCACCACTATTATTATTATTACTACTACTACTACTACCACTACTACTACTACTACTACTACTACTACTACTACTACTTCTACTACTACTACTACTACTACTACTACTACTACTACTACGATTTTCAATTGAACGCTGCGCGAGCGTGCTCTGCGCGTTGCGGACGATTGCCGCTTTGGCACTCATTAATGGGGGAAAACCGACTTCGGCTCGATTCTGAATGGCAAAGGCAAAAAAGCACCCAGAAACCCACTAACAAAAACCAACCTCACAAGGCAAGGAGCAAAGCCAATCGGAACTGAGCCTGAGCCTAAAGCCTCTGGGGGGCCTGCGACTCCTCAAGACACTCTTGGCCCGTACGCGGGGTGGGCTATGCCCACCTGTTGTGGTGTCCGGCCTTCCCGCGCACAGGCACCCATGTTGTGCATTCCTGCCCGTAAATTTTGGGCCAGCACCCAGCTTGCGGCCGGGCTGCCGGCCTTTCAACAGAGGCTAGGCGGCCGGAGATCTGACACAATCATGAACACGGGCTGTGGCAGGCGGCACGAGGGGACTGCCCATGCGAATATCGCAGGTACCTCCTTCATCCGTTTTTGGAGCAAGGCCAGTGGCACGTTTTGCTCCGAGGCCTCGTGCTAGCCACCAACCGTGAAGTAAAACGAAACACAGAAACCGCGAAAAGCAGGTCTACTACTACTAATAATAATAATAACGCTGATAATAACTACTACTATCACTGTGATTATTACTACTATTACGACTATAGTTACTAATACTACTACTATTGGTTACGATTACTACATTTACAACTATTACTAATTACTCGTACTACAAACCCCGACGGACACGGCCAGACGTTTATTATCACCACCCTGACCCCAAACCCTGCCCCAAGAGAGACCCCCCCGCAAAACAACCTCCCAGGAAGGGAGGGCACACCAACATTAAGGAACCCCGCGAAACAGTATATACCTCAATCCGAAACCTGTAAACCTCGAAGATGACTCAAAGACATCTGGGATCGATACCTGGACACTCAAAGGGGAAGTACCCTAAACAGTCGGATCCTTATAAGGACCCCCGAATAAGGTATGTACCCCTAATTGTCGGAAACTCCAAAGAGCCCCTGCGCAGCCAAGCGGCCAACCACGGCGAATCCATGTCCGCCCTTGCTTCCAGAAGCTTCTTGACTATCCTCAGCGGAAGACGGACGACCCTTCTAACATCCCAAGCGACGAAATGCTAACACACTTGACTTAACACCAAACTCCGGCCTTAAATCACGAGCTCTGAACCCTAAATCCTTGAGGGCTGCGCGCCCCGTCAAGGCACGGCAAATGGCCAGCCTGTGCAGCCCCTTGAAGGGCCGTGCGCGGCCCGGCCAGGACATCCTGCTTCGTGCTCTGATGTAAGAATCTGATTAAGAAACCTTGGGCCTTTATTCGGGTTCCCTATATGAATCCTGCTATGTTGGGGTTTTTGGCCCAGGGTTTCTTAATCAGGTTCCGACATTAGGGCTTACTTAGGAGTTGAATCTAAAGGTTGTGGTTAATGTCTTGCGGCAGCGCGTCTTCGCCCTGACTATTGAAAATTCAAATGATTTGTTGCCAGGCCTAAGACTGAGTTGCTAGTTCAGTATTGAGAGCATATGTTTACTCAATATGTGACATTGTTTAAAATATGTGGTTCTGGTAGATCGAGTGCTGTTTTGTTTAAGGCGGAAGTGTGGAGGACTCAGAGCGGTTTGGATCTGGCTGTTCGTGCCCATGTGGCCTGTCCAATCAAGTAACTGTGCTGCGTCTCGTGTCTACTGGTCTTCGTGTCCGTATTGAAACCCAGTGATGACAGTTGTGATGCTGCTGTTTCTGTGACTAATGCTGATCGCGATCATGCCCGCTGTGATTTGCTGACAAAAATGATGACACGAACTAGATTCGACCGCATTTGGTGCCTGTCGAGGTTTACTTTGCAGGGTTTGGACGCAAGAGCTTTGGGTTGTCGACACCTAGGCACCCGAAACCCTTTGTGAGCCTAAACTGCATATCCTGTGTGCTGTTGGGTTTGGTGGCACCACCAGCCACGAACCACAACACAACTCGAACTATCTGATCTGCACAGCTTACATGAACTATGGTTCTTACCTGCCCTCAACCACTTGCCTAGGGCCCAAAGGGGTTAGGGTGTAGAGTTCAGGGCACTTTAGGGTTAGGTTTACCAATGCCAAGATGCTGCTCTCGCACGAAGGAGCTCGTCGACTATGTCTCCATGTCCGCAGCGTGCGGCGCACTGTAGTGCCTGCAGTTAGTGCCGTAGGAGGACCCTCATAATGCCATCTTCATTGCGGAGTTTATGCTGCAGGGTTTCGGGTGTGAACAGTCTTGTTCGAATATCAAACTTGAATCTAACCTTTTTGCACCTGCTAGCAGCTGCTTCTCAAAATGGCAAGCCCCCAAAAGGGACCAGCACCAGCGCAGCCTTTTTGGAAGGTGGTTTGGACATCCGCCTACTATCGCAGTCTATACGTCCCTTGGGCAAATGTCGGAATGTGGAGTTACTTGCGGCATGAGGCATGGCATCAGTTTGAGCTAGAGAAAGCATGAAGCGTGGGTTGGGGACTCGGACGTCAATTCGCCCTGTCCTAAACGACATGGGGCGGGGGGGTACACAAACCTCAGTAACTACCCTAAGGCCCCAAAGTAGTTCCTTTTTGGGCTTTGTATATAGAATCCTTTAAGGTAATCCCCAAAACGAACTACTTTGGGGCCTATGGGTAGAGTACCTGTGTCTGTGGAAGCCTACTACGCAACGCAAAGATACTTTCAGACTTCGGGGACAAGTGCTAGGTCAGTAGCCCATTATTCACACGGGCATCCTGTTCAGGCTGTGCAGTTTGCATGCAGACCACCCAGGACAGCAGGTCGTCAGGTGCTACTACGATAATTAACTTTCGTTAACTAAACCCTATACCCCTTCAGGGGAATATCGGGGCCTTAATAATTGGTATAGGGTTTTGTGGCCCACTATACTATAACTACAATAAGGAACCCCCAAATAATGAATATAGGCACTTATAATTGAATTAAAGGCCCCTAAATAAGATTTCGTCCTTGAGGACGGGAGGACGTCCTGATGACCGAATGCTCTGCACCTCGAGCCCCGGAAACCCAGACATCGAATGAGACGCCAAGCTTATTGGGTTTAGGGTTTAGGGTTTCGAAGTTTACTGAAAGGCCCATCCCGAGCCTAGATACGATTTGGGGTCCAGGTGTGGTTGCGATTGGGGTTGGTGTTAAGGCTTTCGGGGTGAATCGACGCTAAATACTCTCAAGCTTTGGAGGACCCTTACAGGGAACTCCAGAAAGTTGGAATATTGTTTCATGGTAGGATACCCTATAATTTACCATAGAAGGGTTAGGATAATCATATTCCAACTTTCTGGCTTTTACTTTAAACAAAACTGCTCCTTTGTTGTCCAGCTCGTGTCAGACACATGCCAGGTGAGACCCAGCCCTCCTTCTGACTGCGGAGAGACAAAGACTGCTTGCCCACGTGGATCTCGGGACTTTCTCCCTCTCGCATTTCGGGTTCGAGCGCTTGGGGATTAGGATTTAGGGTGTAGGGGTTACCTTAACCCTGAAGGACCTACCTTTTTAAGGACTTATATCAGGAAATCAGAATAAGGAACCCTAAAAAGGTAGGTTATTCAGGGTTAAGGTAGGGTTTAGGGTGAGATCAAGGACTTGGCAGCGTCTGTAGATCAGGATGCTCGAGGGTGTATGTACCCAGGAATTAGCACTTGGGTTTAATGGGAAAGTCTTGGCAGGTGAGCATTTGGGACGTTGAACACATGAGGGCATCCTCTCCATTTCTGTGCCTTGCCTGCGCATGCATACAGACACACATCACTTCAGACAGTCAGAAAGCCGCGCAGACATCAGTCACACACATACTCATTGTTACCTGAACAATGCCGGTCCCTTACTTTCTGGTTGCATGCTTGTATGCATGCTACATAGTGTACGTATGCATAAGTTAACTTTTCCGCCAAAATTTCATGTGTGTGTGTGAACCATATGGCTGCGAGTATGTGAGAGCGGCGTCTTCGGGCCACCCACTGGAAGCTGTCACTCAGTCCTCCAGCATCCGAGACCACTGTGTGTCTGCAAGGGCCGTCTTGATCTCCTCCCAGTTCTGCAGGAAGCTTTCGATCTTGCCGTCATGCAGCTTTTGATAGCGTCCAGCCACCTGCACGGGTGGAGATTTGCAGGAGGTTCCTCTGAGCATGAAACTCCACACGTCGCCCAAGTCTTTCACAATATCCTCGTAGTAGACACGACGGTATTGAACGGCATTGGATTCCAAAAACTTGGCCAAACGGGAGTTCTCAGCTTCACTGGTCTTGAGTTCTCTGAGAAGTAGTTTTGGGCTGATCGTGACCTTCTGCTTCTTGATCGCGCCAGCCGTCTTATCATCTTGCGTTGCTGCAACGCCCTGGACCGCATTGGCATGGCCCGAAACGAGCCTTCTCACCAGGTTCTTGCGCTGTACCCAGAGTATCCGGATCGAGTGATTGCTGGAATACTGGCGAAACCAGGCGGGCCAATCCTCAAGAAAGCCTTGGTTGATTTTCCAGTTGAACCCTCGGATAAATTTGCCGCTGCCCAACTCACGCGCACTGATCTGAACATAGCGCTCCACCTGCCATGGCATCTTCTTGCCATCCACAACCATGTCGCTAGGTACGTCTGCAGGATTGAAGAATCTCCGGATCGCCATTTTGCGTAGTGCAGGTGGCCACCAGGAAGTATCGTTGCAGCAGAGAATCTCTGGTTGTACGTCAATGCACGGGTGTTGGTTGATCTTTTCTGTCAACCAGTGCGTACCCGAGCGCTGCTGAGCAAGGAGAATAACCCAAGTTTGCTCAGGCTTCTGCTTGGCATCTTCCAACGACAACGGCTTGGGTTGAGACACGGATTCAGACTGGTTTGGACTCAAGGAGTTCGAACAGAATGAAAGCATAGCCGAGTGCATGAAGCCTGTGGTCAGAAGACTGCCTATAAAGATGCCATAGAGCAGACCACGCCAGAACGGCATCTGCTTCCACAGGAGCACCGGATTGCAAGTGAACAACCCTATAACCCCTAAACAGCGACCCAAAACAAGATGCACGTTTGCTTTCGTTTTTGGCCCTGCGCGGCCAGCCGAAGGGCCCCTGTCGTACTACCGACGTCGACGTGTATATACAATGACGAAAACCCTTTAAAGCCTATACAAACATGTGTGTTCTCTACAACGGATATGATTGACGATGCTTCTTCTTCTTCTTGTTAATATTTGTGCTTACTCTTGGAACTTCGATCATGTTTATCATTGTTAATATTGCCTGGAAAAGTGATGCAAATTACGAAACCGCTGTACTCCAAAAACCCAGGCGAAAGACACACTGCAGACCTGAGCCAAACGGAAGCTCCGAACTTGGAAACCTACACCCTGATCTAGTTGTTGCTTAGGTTTTTTTTTTGCCGGCCGCGGTTTTAGGGCTTAGGGCAGCAGGTGTTGCGGTTGCTGAAGGACCCTGTTTCCGTCTCGCAGTGGTCTTGGAAGCAGTTTCCTTAGGGCCCCAAAGAGCACATAGGCAAAACTAAGGATAGGGATATCCTATATAAACCCCCTTATAATGAAGCCCAATAAGGTAGGGATATCCCCATAAAATGCTTATGCTTAGCTTATGTTCTTTTTGGGTCCCTAATTCCTGCAGGCGAGTTCAGAGGTTAAGCACCCAGACCTTCCAAAATCCCACTAATTAAGGAATATACCTTAATTCATATTTGGGATCCTATTATGATTTAAGGGATTTTGGAAGGTCTGGGCAGTTTCGGTTCCGGGGCTTTCAAAATTCGGGATCCTGAGCCTGGGCAGCTTCGACGTGAAGTTGCTGGGGTTGATTCCTCTTGAGTCTCCCTGTCTACTTGAAGGTTCATGGGTAGTTATAAGTGGGGTTATAAGTAAGGCAACTATACCTATAACTTAGAAGGGGCCCCGCCCTGTAATAGTGGTATAATAGGAATATAATAGGGCCCTAATATAATCCTTATAGTCACTATTACAGCTTCTAACCTATAACCCTTCAGAAGGGGACGCCGTGGACGCTTGTTTCTTCCTTGTGTGGACGCTTGTTTGCTCCTTGTCGATTGTGTTCCCAGCCGGTGCCCCGACTTAATGACTTAAAAAATTTAAGTCATTAAGTCAGGGCCCCGGCTGGATCCAAGATCCAAGATTGCAGAAAAAAGTTTCTTGGATCCATCTTGGATCCGGGAGGGCCCCGACTTAATGACTTAAAAAATTTAAGTCATTAAGTCAGGGCCCCGGCTGGATCCAAGATCCAAGATTGCAGAAAAAGTTTCTTGGATCCATCTTGGATCCGGGAGGGCCCCGACTTAATGACTTAAAAAATTTAAGTCATTAAGTCAGGGCCCCGGCTGGATCCAAGATCCAAGATTGCAGAAAAAAGTTTCTTGGATCCATCTTGGATCCGGGAGGGCCCCTGACTTAATGACTTAATTTTTTTAAGTCATTAAGTCGGGGCGCGCGGCTCTTGGAATGTCCTGTGCTTGCGTCCCGGTGTCCCTGTAGGAATAATTCACCATTCAGGGTTATAGATGTTTACTTACGATACAGAGCTTTACCTGTCAGGTCACTTGGCTGCATCGCGGCGAAGCAACTGGGCCTTTTGGGGTCTGCTTGGGTAGGCACTACGACCCTTAAACTTAATCCTTAACCCTACGCCCCAAACCCCGACATCATCATTACTCCACCTTGCAAGGCTTCGGCTTGAAAGCATCGTAGCTCCTGTATTCTTTGCTTCGTATTCCCCAGTCGAATAATGGCTTCAACGGTGGAGGTATCCGGTGATGCAATCTTCAAAGGCAAGCAGGTCATCTTGCGATTGCAACAGTCGCAAGAGTCGCAGTCAAAAGAAAATCCAGAAGTGGTCGTGCTCAAACCTTTGCCTGATGACACGAAGATTTTGACGGAGATTCAGAGCGGTACGATTGACTGCCACCCAAGTCGTCTCCCAATCACTGCCTACGAGGTGCGGAAGTTGATGAGGAACATCCAGCTTGGAATGCAGTTGCGTCCACCTGCTGGTCCATGGTCCGATGTTGCACACAACCGCTTTCTCGACTTGTTGAGCAAGCCAAAACGCAAGCGCGGTCGCAAATGTGAGATGATTGAAAATGGTGATGGGGCACCCTTGTGCTTGATGGATGAGCCCATGCCCGAAAGCCCCGAGAACATCGCGGAGGACGCCGAGAACATCGCCGAGGACGCCGCCAAGCTCATGCAGCCGAACATCCCCCGGGACACCGAGAACATCGCCAATGACGCCGCCAACCTGATGAAGCAGAACATCCACCAGGACACCGAGAACATCGCCAACGACGCCGCCAACCTGATGAAGCAGAACTTCCCCCAGGACGCTGAGAACATCCCCAATGACGCCGCCAATCTGATGAAGCAGAACATCCACGAGGACGACAACAAGGTTTCCATGGACACCAACCCGAACACGAGCGAGAACGATAACATGGAACAATGCGCCGGCAATGCTATCAACCAGGACAGCAGCGACAGTTCTACATCGTCATCCTCATCCTCATCGTCTTCTTCTACACCGAAGAAAGAGTTGCGTCGCCGTATCGTTGTGCTCGAAGCGGACTTGGAGGAAGTCAGCCGCGACCTGTACATTGCTAATGATGCATTGGGGGCCCATGATGGATAAGGCTTGTCGCACGGCGCATCCGCGAAAAGCGCCTGCAATCATGCACATTTGAATGCTCCGTAGGACACATCATGTTGCAAACGATTGCAATCTTTCTTAAATCTGTCTTGCGC